GGAAAGAGGGAAAAAAGGGGGAAAAACCCGACCGACCCATGTTTTGGCACCTAAAAAGCAATACAACATTTTTTTTGTTTAGGCATGTATAGTTAATGCATATTTACCGTAGTCCTTTAAAAGAGTAACTGCGTCCGATCTTGTATTTTGAAATAGTTTGTATGACTTTTATGAACATGTCCCCCCAAAACGGCTACAGCCAACGAAGCAGTCGCAACGGCTCAAAAGACCAATATTGTTGGTATCGTGGGCTGTTGGTATACTGGCCCGTTAGATAAACCTGATGAAAGCGATAACTCGTGATTACCCCTCCTGATGTTTGTCATAACAGATTTATGCTGTTTGACGATATAAATTCACGACTTTACCTGAAGTTACCTTTACCTGAAGACACCCCCACATAGTATTTTTTAAAGAAGGAAAGGAAAAATAAACAACAACAACACCCGATATGAAGCAGATAATTAGGATAATAGGAACTTATGATATGGTAAACCCACTATACTTCTAGGCCCTAGATACTGCTGCTACTACTACTACTACTGAGTACTACAGACATCCAACAACAATGATGATTTTGATGGTTAATGATGATAATGTTAATAATATGAATAATAATACTAATGATAATAATAATGATAAAAGTAATAATGATATTAATAATAATAATAATAATGATAATAATAATAACAAAAATAATAACAACAATAATAATTATGATTATCATAATGATAACAATGATACTACTATACTACTTCTACTACTACTATAGTCTACTACTATTAATAACAACATTGATAATAATAATAATAATCAGAAGGATAAAAACAATACTAAATAATACAGCAACGTGAGTAAAATCCAATAAAACTTTAATACCCGCAAAAAAGATTCATACAATCTTGTAAATGTAAAATCGAAAGTTCTGCTGATTGTGATGATATAGAAGAGCCAATAAGCTATGATATTTTAGTGAATAGTAGATCGTAATCCAGTTAGAACCGTAGGAGTGTTATACAACACTGATGAATATATAAATGCAATTTAGAATAGTTCCTTCGTATTACGTATAGGCCTATGTGCTTGATTATTGTGTACAGGGTGTATATTGCTATAGCCTATTTTAGTTATAGTGATATTCATGACATATTTAAAGGTTACAGTAAATAGACGGGAAAGAAAAAAAGTTAGATATGAAACATGGAAAAGATAGAGTGGGATAGAGAGAGGGGTAGATAAAGATAGATAGAGAAAGAGGGGGCCGGGGGAGCACAAACACTTCATACAGGGAGTTCTTCGACTCTTGTAAACTGATTTTTTTGTTTTGTGTGTGTGGATTATTTAACGCATTTACAATTATTCTTTACTACCCATTTCCCCTCTTTTTGGTATATAGGGAGAGAGAAAGAGAAAGAGGGAGAGAAAGAAAGAGAGAGAAGGAGGGGGAGGACTAAGGTGACTGAGAATCGGTCCAATGGAAATCTATAACTACACATGCTGATTAATCTACGGGGGAGGAACACGAAAATAAGAGAATAATTTCCAATTCATATCGAGAACCGAATGATTTACCCCCAAAAAAGGAAAAGAAAGAAAAATGAAAGTGATAAAGAATGATTATATTTTGAAGCGCGGTCAAGTGCTTAATCAGGGATCCATGTAGCCGTGAAATTGCCCGTCGTAGACTGCACTTCACGCCAGACGGAGAACAAGTCCAACTCTCTGATTAAAATTTCATATTTTCCTACCCGATTTTCCCTCTTTCATTCAATAATTGATAATATTCGACGGAGTCGGAGCAAAGCCATCGGTTATCGAATTAGATTCTTATGTCTTTCTATTTTCATACCTGTTTACAATGAAATCTCTTTGTTTATAAACTTGAAGCATGCACGTCATACAAGTAGATTGTTTTTACATATTAGTTTTTGTTAACTATAACTGCTTAGAGTAAATTTTAAAACTGATAAGAAAGAACTTATAGAAGAAAATACATTGACGTATCATGTGCAGGTTTAGAGACATTTTTTAAACCAGAAATTTGTGTTCGGATTTTGGCGCTGTTCTCTCGACATTTTCTTGAATGGTATAAAATAAAGAAATATGCATTGTGAGACGTTTTACATGGCATCAACAGTTGTTAAAAAGAAACTTGGGAAAATATAGCGAAGGTGGAGGGGTCCTAATATTGTAACAATAATGATATTTGATCTTGTTCCACTTCAATTTAAATTTACACTTGAAATATTAGTTTTCTTAATTATGGCAGCTGCTAATTTGCATATTATTTAACTTTTGTTTCAAGTGACATATTTTCCCATAAGTTTAGCAAATTGTTAAACGGAAACAAATCAAAATGCACTGCAAGGGATTTAGATAAATCATATTGTTTTAAGATTTGGTGTAATTTTTAATGGATTAATTTGTCAATTTTCTGTATTAGAGGACATCACTGCTATTTATGATGTATATAATGAATGGTAAAGAAATCTAATACTGTATAATAATTATGGTAATCGACATGTTTGAATGCGACTTCGTTTGCACAATGAATGAACGTGTTTGGGTCCAAGTTACAGTCTGCATCATGCTTTTACAATTATGTTTCAACCCATCTGTTCATCTTTGCCATTTAATATTTATCACGCTTCATTCTTATCAACACTAATTTGATTTTTCTCTTCTTCCCTCCTCTAGTAAAAAAAATTACCATGGTACACGGTTTTTTGGCCACGGTAGGTATATAAGGTACTACATTCGGTAGTAACATTACAATTATTACGGTAAACTAATAGAGCCACGGTACTGCCTGTAGCATAGTAGTATTGTACCATGGTAATACTATGGTAGTACCACATTTTTTTGCAAGGGTAATTTCTTTCTTTCCTATTATATTATGATAAACATTTTTCTTACTTCTCGCGCTCTCTCTCTCTCTTTCCTTCTCTCGTTTCTTCCCTCACTCTCCGTCTCCATCCATCTCTCTTTCTCCCTTCCATATCTCTCTTTAACCCCATATCCGTCTCTCTACTAATCTTGTTTACACAGCATGATACATGTATATGTACATCATGACGGTTCTGAAATTCATTATCTCTTGCTACCTCGTTTTCATTTTGGGGATCAGGTGCACTTTTGGACAATGGAATAATCCGCGATTTTTTTTTTTTTTATACACCGAATACGCTATATCATAATATTTAAGGGTATTTTTGTTATCCAATTTACTTTCACAAATCAATCAAAATACAAATGATACATTGTCCAATTGAATAATATTGAATTATCAGCCTCTGTAGAAACTCTGATATAAAAAAAAAATCGAAAGTTTCCAAAACAGAAAAAAATTGTGTCAGATTTTTTTCCCTTGAAAGCCTATAACTAATGTCACTTATTGTTTCATCTCTTCCTCCACCCGAAAGTTTGTAGCTACCAGCTGTATACGCGTGATTTGCTGAAGAAGACTGTTGTGTAAGAAGAAAGATTAATGTTATTTCATGAATATTAGAAAACAATGAAGCGAGTCATATCAGTCTAGTTGAACATTATTTCAATGCGTCGATTGCCATTTTGAGGTTGAACAACATTTTATAAACAGGCAGAATGATCAATAATGCTCTGCTGCCCTCTTCGTCCATGTCCAGGATATGTTTACAATTATTTTTGCGAACCAAAAACGGAATCGTCAGCCACCAAAACTCTGGTAAGCTTAGCTGAGCTTAAAAACTTGAAACTTGAAACATTAAGCAGCATTACAGTTTTACGTAATGTTGAAAGAGTTGTATGTTTTGTTTATAGTATAATTACTAGCTGTTTCATACACCATCGCTACTTTGTTAGTGACTCGTCGCGCGAGTCTTTTGACTTTTGACTCGAGTTCCGCTGGCCTCGGCTCTGGCCCTGTTGTTCAGGGAAGTTCGCTCGGCCAGCACTGGTATACTAGTGCTAACAATACCACTATCAATACCAGTGCCAGAGCCACCCACTTGCCGCTGTCCTTCAGCGGCCGCAACCGCGAGCCAAGGTAAACTTCGATCGCACCTTTTTGAATAGACACTATAGTACTCTGTGGGCGGGGGACCAGTAGCTCCATGTTTGATTTCCATTTTTGATGGCTAAACTTTTAGAATCAGAAACTAATTGTCTGGTCCTCTGCATGCGCATAGAAATTTAGAATTATTTTAATAGCGTAGGGTAACGGTTTATCTAAAAGTTAGACCTCTAGGCAATGCCAGAGTTAGTGTAAGGTTTTGAATTAGAATAGATCTAGAGATGGAAAGATTTAAAGTTAAGACACAAGGATGGTTGAGTACTTGTCATGATTGTGCAGAAAGAATACCACCAGGCACCAAACAGTAAAATGCAATCTTTTCTTCCACATACATGTAGTCATAGAGACCTGGTCAGGGATCTACATGTACATCTGTGGTACCGTAAACTCTCTCATTTAGTACTGATATGACTTGGAATTATTTTTTGCTATACCGGTAAAATTCTGACAATAAAAAGGGGAAAATGGAAACCTGTTGTAGATGTGAAGTTTTGATTGGATAATATTGAATTGAAGGGATGATCTTGTGCTTGTTAAGATATAATTCTTTCTTAATCATTCAAGGATCACCAGGGTAACTTTTTCAAATTAAATATATCTTGTGAGCACCATGGATGATATTTCTCTTTAATCATTCATGTTACAACATATTTGTGATGATTGATTAGATCAGTTTGACTTGTGATCTGAAATCATCTGACAATATTTCACAATTTTATACTTCTACTTCTACGTTGGAACTTGACAGGATCCATCAGTCAGGATATAACGTCAAGGTTCAAATGTCTGGCAAGGTGCTCTTGTGCAGTGCAGTCAGTTGGTGTATTATGTACGGAGTGCAAATAAAAACAATTCATTATTATTTCTGCAGTTTTCTGAGGAGCCATCATCAGTGGGTGATAGAAGCATTAACCTCCTGGAATCCAACATGGACGAAGAGCATATATAACATGAATGGAAGTACTGCTACATGTAGTCATGTGATGAGCTTTTGGGGGCATGTCACTATCACACTTGACCATGGAGCATGGTGATGTAATCGACATTGATGACCTCCTCGGGGAGTCATCTCCAGAGGTCAGTTCTGATACATACATACTTGAGTGCAACTCATAGTCTTACTTGGTACTTGGTATTTTCACTTAGGAAATAAAAATAGCTTTTGTTTTCTTCAAAAGACTTTTATTTTGAAGATATTACATGTACTTGTTCAGAAAACGTTTATTGTGAGGAAATTTACATGGATTGCATTTAGTGTATGAATTGATATCAACATTTTAACTAATATGACCTATTGTTACATTTAAATACACCATTATACTAGTAAAGCATCTCAAAATGATGGGAAGCCTTTTGAAAATTGATACATTGAAGAAAAAAATGACTGGTACATGATATACTGAGGAGGCAAGTTGGCTCAGTTGGTAAAGCGTCTGCCTGTCAAACCAAAGGGTTCAAATCCTACCCAGACGGATGACTGAAGCCTGCGTTGTGGGTTAACGTCCCCCTCCTCTTGTTTCATAGACGCGGGGCTATGTTAAACACTATGTGAAAACACTGCATCTTACATCTGCAAGAATCTTCAGTGTTGAAGGAGGCAGATTATCCATAAGAATAAGAAGATTATGTCACTGATTTATAAATATTTTCATGTTCACTTTACCCACTTAATTTGAGCTTGTGTCGTTTCTAAAAATTCAAAATGATTAACCTTCATGGTTATATATTTAATTTGACAGCAGTCATCCCTTCCCTTAGAAGAGTACAACCTTGATGACTTCTTAGACACTGCTCTACATGAAGGGGACAATGGAAAGTCTGGCAAACAATATTCAGGTAAAACGGGGTGTGTTAATTATGTTGAATGCAGTTGGTCTCTATATATACTTCCTGATTTAGTCTCACATGTATATATGATTTATGGAAGTTGGTTTTAAACAAGTGAGCTGTCAAAGGTCCTTAAAATTCATCTGATATATATACTTTTCATAAGAACTTAAATTGTAAAAATTTAGGGGGTTCATTTTATGCATACTTCTGAGTAAATTTTTCAAATGATTTTTACTCTTGTATAGTCACGTAAATGAATATTTAAATTTCAGCATCATTGATAAAATAGAATTGATGTATAACCTATTTTTTTTTATTGAAACAGGCAAGTCCCGGCTCCATGCTCACAAAAGCAAAAGAAATCGATCTGGACAAAGTGGCACAGAGGAAGGAAAGTTACCTCAATACCAGCAGGATGATGCTACCGAGGTGTTCCTAGAGTCTCTTCTGAGTACCATCAAGCCATGTGGTGACAAGAATGACGTCACCTTAGACATCAACTCAGACGAGCTGAGGAAATTCATTGCTGAATATCAGGTACATGATGGAGAGTTGGTCACCATACAGTTGGATGGGGCAAGGCGGCCAACAGAAGACGGGGCCTCACTTAGTTCAAGCGCTTCAGAGTCACTGGACAGTTCACTCTCCGGAGAAGGAGTTGGCGGGTCGAAGGTCAAGCAGAATAAGAAGATGATGAGAGGAATGAGGCTTCTGGTTGCCAACCTCCTCCGAAGCAAGACAACGGCCATGGCCAGCCCGACACTGGGGAGTGAAGACGAAAGACAGAAGGAGATACGTCGGCAGAAGCTCAAGGATAAAAGCAAGCGGAGGGAAGAGAAAGCCTTTATGAATCATAGTAGTGATGGACAGTCATCTCAGAGTGATGTCTCGATAAATCACACCACACCTGCTGTATTGAAAAATCCCACCAAAATAGATGCTACTACTGCTGTGTGTAATGCAGGTGGAGTGAATCCAAGGAATAGCCAATGTACTGACAGACATGAAGCGTATGCATCAAGAACAAGTGAAGAAGTAGCCAAGGTCTTTACATTTGCAGTTGAAGAGGACAAATCGAGTTTGGTAAGAAAAACTTGGTGAATAGGGAAATAATTGTATTTATTTGATGACTTAGAAGGAAAAAAACCTGTAAAAACTTAATGTGGAGTGGAAGTGGGTTAAAATTTGATAGCCTGAAAATGCAGACATATGAAATGATTTTATTGAAAGAAATAAATTCATAGTAAAATCTGATTGTATCAATAACAATCTAAATTTTTAAAGAAAATCAGTATTAATCTTTTTGAAAAATTAAAAATATAAATGCTCTTGTTTGCTAATGCAGAGGGTAAAATATATTCTATATTAAGAGGGGGACTACAATTTTATATTTTAAATACCTCTATCAATAGGAACACTATCTTAGAAGCAACCCTAGCATCAGGGACTCACGGGATTGTCATGGTAACATGCTCCTGCATGTCCTGTGTCGTCATGGCAAACTTGAGAGCTTACAGTGGCTGGCGTCTGGACTGTGTGGACATCACGTCAGTCTGGAAAATAATAACTGCTTCACACCAACTGCCATTGCTGTCAAAGTAAGTGGTAATTGGGTTTTAATCACACATTGAGGCCTAAAAAAGAACGATGTTGAATTGCCCTTTAGGAGCCAAAACATGGGTTGGTCGGTCAGAAATGTTTTTTTTTTTTCTTTCTTTTTTTCCCCCCTCTTTAGGCTGATATTTCTCGGTTTTGAATGCTTTAATATTTTTTTCTCTAAAAAACGGTAAAAAACGGTAAAAAAAAATAATTTCAAGATTTTGGGGTCGGTCGCAAAGGGCAATACAATATCTTTTTTTTTTTAGGCCTGATGAAAAGTATTATTTAGTCTTTTCAATTATGGTTATTGATATACATTGGTGTCCTTTTTTGTTTGTTTTGTTAATTGTGATTGATTTCAACCACACTGAATTTTGTAGTATCACTACAAGCTACTGAATATTTTTTTGTGCAATGTATAAAGTTATAACTTTTTATAGACAGTCCTGATATTTAGATTATTACAGATGTGTCTGAAAAATCCTGTTGTCAATTGAATTATCTTATTCTCCTGAGCTCAATACAATAAGCACCAAATATTGTAGGTAGTATGTTATACAGTTATATTCAAGAAATCAGAATATTCTTGTTTTACATTATGGCAGAATACTGCTGTTTTGAGTGTTTCATTAACCTTTAGTTGTATTTCTTATAGTTTAACAGACAGAGTGTATCGAGTGGTTTTTCATTTCTACATGAGAGACCTAGATTTTGTTTGTGAATCGTGATTGATGGTAACAGTTTGGCAAGCCAGAATGTATAATTTATTATCACCTGTATTTTCATACAGTATGGCAGACTGGATTGTGTTGAGTGGTTGATCAATGAAACCAAGGCCAAAGATGAGCTTCACTCTCAAGATAATAGGTGGTCCTTGCTTCATATAGCATCCCGTTATGGACAGGTGAGATAGTTTGTCATGTAATCATTGTCAAGAGTAACCTTTGAATTGTCAAGGGATTTTGGAATGGGAACCTTGAGAGAAAATATGATGCAACATCTATTGAAATCTAATAGACCTTGCATATGAAAACTTGTATCGTTAAATGTATTTGGTTTGACATAATGCATTTATGCTCATCATCATCAAGTGATACATGTAGGTCTGTTACAGACATCGGCAGTCAAGGCCCTCCATTTCTGTCTATTGTCTGCTATTCTCGGAAAGCTGATAGTGCTGATTTCATTTTAGTTGCTCATTTTTTTAGGCTTTGCATACTACATGTATGTGAGGCGTTTCCTTCCCTGCGCCTATTTACCTGTTAACATTGTTTTTTTATGCCTCCGCCACCGAAGGTGGTGCCGGAGGCATCATGTTTTCGGGTTGTCTGTCCGTACGTCCGTCCGTACGTCCGTCCCGTTTGACCGTTATCACAATATCTCAAGAACCATTTAAGATTTAAACTTAAGACTCGGGAATAGTATTTATCACCATAGGAAGACGATCTGATTAGATTTTGGAGTACGTAGGTAAAAGGTCACCGGTCACAGAGGTCAACTTATGAAATTCCTTGTATTGAGTTTGTTAGCGCGATATCTCAAGAACCATTTGAGATTTAAACTTCAAACTTAAGGATAGTATGTATCACCATAGGAAGACGATCTGATTAGATTTTGGAGCACGTATGTCAAAGGTCAAGGGTCACAGAGGTCAACTTATGAAATTCCATACATTGAGATTGTTATCATGATATCTCAAGAACCAGTGGAGATTTAAACTTCAAACTTAGTGATAGTGTGTATCACTATAGGAAAACAATCTGATTACATTTTGGAGCACGTAGGTCAAAGGTCAAGGGTCATAGAGGTCAACTTATGAAATTCCATACATTGAGATTGTTATGATATCTCAAGAACCACTGGAGATGTAAAAACTTCAAACTTAAGGATAGTATGTATCACCATAGGAAGACAATCTGATTAGATTTTGGAGCACGTAGGTCAAAGGTCAAGGGTCACAGAGGTCAACTTATGAAATTCCATACATTGAGATTGTTATCATAATATCTCAAGAACCACTGGAGATTTAAACTTCAAACTTAATGATAGTGTGTATCACCATAGGAAGACAATCTGATTAGATTTTGGAGCACGTAGGTCAAAGGTCAAGGGTCACAGAGGTCAACTTATGAAATTCCATACATTGAGATCGTTATCGCGATATCTCAAGAACCACTGGAGAATTTTCACTTCAAACTTAATGATAGTATGTATCACCATATCATAATATCTCAAGAACCACTGGAGATTTAAACTTCAAACTTAATGATAGTGTGTATCACCATAGGAAGACAATCTGATTAGATTTTGGAGCACGTAGGTCAAAGGTCAAGGGTCACAGAGGTCAACTTATGAAATTCCATACATTGAGATTGTTATCATGATATCTCAAGAACCACTGGAGATTTAAACTCCAAACTTGTTTAAATTGCTCTATGGCGGAGGCATCATTTTCGACTGCGCGCAGTCAAAATTCCATCTAGTTTCTTTTCTAGATGATCTTTTCTGATATATGACCAACAATTTGCATTTGCCTATTTCTCATTGTATTGATGAGTGATGGTTTACTCTTGCTTTTGTGAACACTTCTTCATTTGTTATCTATTCTGTCCACGATATATTGATAATTATTTCTCAAGGTCAGGTCTATGTAGCCTCTAATCTTCTTTCAAACTCTTTGTTTATTGTTTCTTACATGAAATATTGAATATGTATTGAGAGTTACAGGATTATTTTGATTAAAATCCATGGCAGGAAAAGATATACTGTTTATGCTTGCATTATAAATACAGTTATTACATAACATGAGATTATATTATTGTACCCAATTTCGTACCAGGAATCATGCTTGCGTTGGTTGCTCCAGTTTATGCAAGATACCAGCATCGATCTTGACTGTCTTGATCGTCATGGCAACTCGCCTTCCCACCTTGCTGCTCGACATGGTCACCTGACATGTCTACAGGTATGTAATCAACGCTCCATTCTTATCATGATCTAGTGACATATAAACATAATCATTCTGTAAGAGCAGAAAGGACGTCGTAACTGGAGAAAAGTTTGTTGACCTTGCACTCTCCCTGTTCCTGTCAAAGTAATGACAAACCCATTTTCATCCTTGATTATGCCATAGAACCATGAAAATGTTTCCCTTTCTGTTTACCTTTACAGACTCTTGTGGAGTTCACCTGTGATGTTACCATGGTGAATGGTAAGAAGCAGACTCCATGTAGCCTAGCAACCAAGTATAATCACAACACTTGTGCTCAGTTCTTGGTGGTGACTGAGACGTGTGTCTCATTGTCTGATCAAGTCACTCAACTCAGAAGAGACCTCAGAGAGTAAGTGCATTTCTGCTCTTCGCTCTCACAGATTTGTTAAGGGATGAATAAATCATTATTTCTTCTCCAGAAAGGCAATACTGATATTTGACTGCTACACTGTTCCGAAGAAAAGTCACGCATCTGAAATTGAAACATAAATGAATGTACATATGTTACAACAGTGTTGAAAAGTTTTGTTAAATCCTTACGTTGCTTTCTAATATTTTCTACATTTCTTTTTGAACAATCCATTTGACATATAATTATAAAGAATAAATTTGTGAGACATACCTCGACCTCTATAATGAGAAACCTTTTCTTGTTTGATTTTTAGGTACCACCAGGAAAAGGTAGAGCTGAAAGCAAGGCTAGATGATGTAAGTTCTTATGTAGAAATCCTAGTATATATTAGTAAATATCTTTGCATGAATGAAAACAGAAACTTCTTATTGAAATATACTATTTTTCCAGCAAATTGAGACTACTTTCAATACTATCTTTTGATATGCATGGACATTATCTTGTGTACAACCTACAATGTAATGTGTGAAAGTTAGTCAACCTGTGGAAGTGTCCTCGGCCTAGAATTGATTTTCTTGCATGTATCAATAATACAAATATGATCTTGTCTATTGTCCATAGGCCATACTATGCAGCAAGGCCCTGGTGCGCATGCATCCCCGGGATACCACCCAACGGATAGAACAGATCCAACTACAGTATGTGGATCTGACTAATCTCTTGGTGAGAAGAATCGATGAAATGCATCAAAAGAAAGAGAAAGAAGCGGCTCACAGGGAATCGTCATACGCAGAGAGTGGTAATGAACTAGGGTAAGTTTCTTCTCTGTAAACTGTTTATCAGTTCAAATGCAGTGTCACAAAGCGAATTGTAAAAATACACAATATTTGATCATATAACATTTTTTGTTATTGAATATGAACATGTTTTTTGCTCAGTGATAGATAAACAATATCCGCACCCAACTTGGTTAATAAACTTAACATATATTTGAAATTTTTTCTTGTAGTCTCTATCATACAACATGTGTCTACCTTTGGCTATAATATTCTAAATTCTAAGACATTTTTCATTGATAATACGATTGTCCCTGGTGAATCATCAATCATGACTATACCACCACAGCAGCCAGACCTTAAGAATTCTTCATTGAATTTGTTGATTCTTGTACAGTGATGGTGACATAGCGTTGTGTAAGCAGCGTGCCGAAGAGCTCCAGGACTCTTGCTCCTGGCTCCTGGAGGAGGAGCATGCTCGTCAAGCATCCAGTCAGGAGGGGGAGCTCTCCAGGATCCAGGAGACTCTGCACAAACTCCAGCAGCAGCCTCAAGGGTTGCCAAGCCATGTCGGTCAAAGGTCACAGCTAGAGGATCATTACAACTCAGAGCCTCTCAAAGACATGCGGTGAGTTCTTTTCAAAGATATATTTTCAAAACATTTACATAGAAAGAAATTTTACTTGTTCATTGCCAAAGGTTTATGAAGTGCAAATTTGATGATTCCTTATATGGTATAAATTTGTGATTTTTTTCTCCATGATAGCACCATTACCCCCTGCAAGATATTTGAATATTGACTGTACTCATGCTTTTGTGCTTTGTTTTGTTTTCCAAAGAGATTTAAAAGATTACAAGAGTATGTCAGCATTATTTTGAAATACAAACCCTTTCATTTTGTCTGCAGGAAGCGGCTAAATGAAGTGAGTTTACTCCGAGCTGCAAGTCCATCTGTAATGAACGTACCGCTCTCTGAGAAGCAAGACAGTGTTAGTTTGAGCAGCAGTTATACGTCCCTCAGCTCTTCATCATCATCCATCTCTGTGATGACGAATGGTCCACTGGTACCTTCAAGGCACACACTTCAGAAACAAGTATCATGGGAAGATCAACGACATCATATGGGTGCGTCAAGTGATGTGAATGGAGGGACGAGTCACAGTGAAACTGGAAGCTCGGCCTCAAGCGTAAGAAGTATAGAGCAGGAAGATCTGGCATCCAGAGTGAAAAGACACTTGAACGATTTAATCTCAGGGAAAAGTAATAGTCAGACGGATGCCAAAACTGTCAGTCTTCCCCAAATAATCAGTATTATACAAAAGATGAAAGAGAATATCGAACACCAACCAACCCTTTGCCGACGGATGGTGTGCCAGCAGCCAGGTTGAATGGATCTAATACTGTGACATCCGCCAGGATCAGCACACAACAGTCGCACATGAAGCAGAATCAAGTAAAGCAGTCTCTTGATGCTCTCATGAAGAGTACTCTACCAGACTTAATCAACTCTGGGGATGCTAAGACAGGTCAGGTTTCCCCGCAGAGTGATAGCAAGCTATCGACCTCAAGTGAAGATCTCTCCCATTCTTGGCATGGTGGTTCAGGTGACCAGAGTAGGAATGGTAGACCACTCCTCTCTAGATTAAGAACATCTCATTCTACCGACTATGCAGTGCAAAGTACAAATAACATGAAGCATCAAAGGCATAGCAGTGAGAATAGCCCACTGAATATGAAACTATCGTCATCCATCAAGAGCCAAGATGATGAGGTTCTTCATAGGCCTTTATCGAGCAGTAGAAGCACCGTCTTGTCTATGCCAGTCTTCATGCGGAAGCTACGACCAACAGGACATGTTCCAGGAGGAGAGGTATCCGTTCACGTTGATCTGATAAACCATCATGATGACATGGAAGGAGAGGTTGATTCTTTCCTACCTAGACTCAACTCAGACTCCAGTCTCAGTAGCACCACGTCATCTGATGTAGTCTGGTCTGATGTTGATCACCAGGACGGTCCAGATGTAGGCCCTATGTACAAACGCAGGGCTGGGATACTCAATCGAACTCGCAGAACCGGAGAGGGTTACCGCAAATCGCGTAACCGTCACATCAAATTTGCTTTGGATGAAGACAACTGCCCCTCAAGCCCTAGCTCGGATGCATCCTACCATCGTAGAGATCTCTCTCCAATCTATGAGTCTGAATCCCATCGGCAGCAGCGTGAGCAGAATGCAGCTGAATTCCACAGTCCTGTGAACAATGCCTCTCCTTGTGAATATAATCCTCCTATGCTTGGTCATCGTGAGTACAGAGTGAACTTCTACAGCAGTGATGATGATGATTATGAGACAGAGTCACCTCTGCCTCAAGACAGTCCGCCCATTTCAGGATCTAACTTATCACATGCTCAGGTAAATATTGATGGGCTTCATTTATTGAAAGTATTCCAGAAGTGTCTCTTCATATAATTAGTTTCTCTATCTTCGTTTTCAATTTTCTCCTCTCTCTCTCTCTCTCTCTCTCTCTTTATATATCTCTCTCTCTATCTCTTTCTCACTCTCTGTAATCTGTTCACTGCATTTTAATCTTAGATTCTATTCATAATTGATTGTTTGATTGATTGTCATTAATGTTACTGGAGTGCTAAGAATAAAGGCATTTGCTTTTATATTGATATTAAAAACTTGTAGCTAAAACTCTTTTCTGATGGACTAGTTAGATTAGAATGAATGATTTATTCAAGGGCACTAGTCTTGTGATTTTGTCTCAAATCTAATTCCTTGTTTTTAAGACCAGCTCTCTATCCAAGAGCCGTAAAATATCAAATAACATTATTCAGTAAAACAAGAAAGAAATAGGAAAAAGAAGCGCAGCAGCGACTTTAGTATTGAAATCTTGCAATCATTTTGTTTTGTAATAGGATCGTCCAGTTGATGAGATTCTACAAGATTCTGTCCTTGATGGTCAGGAAGAAACTGACAAGTTTTGGTAAGAAGCAAATATTATTTCCTTATTTTAAAATTTTGTTTTTGTTGTAAGTATAGTTATTTTGTTTTGAAAGGTGAAGTTCTAGTTGAAAATACAAATTGAATAGAACATTTTCAGGATAGTTTCAGATTGTTATAACAATTGAAATATCTTTATTTAGGTGTTTGAAATGTTCACGCATTCATCTAAAAAGAAACCCCATTTCAAAGCCCAAAATCAGCTTGTAGGGTATCACTAAACCCTCTATACTGTACATACATGTAGTCTGAGCTGTCTGTTGATACAGCTAGGCCCTTCCTGGCTAGAGCTCTTTACTGTCAAACATATGAACACTGCTATATTCTGTGTGACACAAGTTCTAACACATTATGGTACTTACACAGTATGGCCTGATGGATTTTCTCTGATGGTCTTTTAAAATATATTGAAATCTTTTTTGTTGTGTGTGGTTGTTGTTGTAACATGTCCATATTAAACAAAGAACGTCATGATCTTGGGATCTGATGACCTAGATTTCTGCTTTATGTATATAGCAGAACCTTGACTTCCTGTGAAAATGCTGCCATAATTACTTCAATAATTATTGACAATATCTTTTGTTCATATACTATGCTACATGGCAGTTTTCAAAGTGCATTCACCTGCATACATGTATGTTTACGTATTTCTGAAAAAATTGAAAGGTCACTTTGGAAGGTCTTTACAATAATTTGAAGTAATGAAACTTCATGGGAAATGTGTTGTTGGTAGAGTACCAGTGGAATATAATGTTGGTATCCTGTTTGATAATTTGCCTACCTGTTTTGGGCTTGAGAATGTGCATGCTCTAGTCTTTTGGAAGATGATTACTTACATGATTGGAGTACAGTTTTGACTGATGTGATAAGAGTAATATAGTGAATAGGATTATATTTGATTGCCTAAATTGAATAAGATTAAACTTGGTTAGATATACGTATAGGTTGAAAGTATACTTTCAGATTTTGATTAGTTAAGGATGGGACTTGCAAAATATGTATTTCATGAGAAGAGAGAGAGAAAGAGAGATTTTGATGTCTTTAAGAATTTGTACTCTAATCTAAATTTTGAAAATGTACTAAAGTATGAATAGGGTTCTCATGCTAATTATGTATCAACAACTTTGGGGGATACTCTACTTTTCTTTTTATTCTAAGGCAGATTAATCTAGACTATTCAAGTACTTTCTCAGCAAAATGATTAAAAATATAAATTGTAAAACAGTGTCTCTTTGACGGTTTCAAAAAACAAGAGATGCTGTTCATTTTACAAGCTACACGTAGGTTGTTGTTGTTTTGTGATTGGATGTTCATTTATTGAGAATATTTACGCTTTTAATTTGTTATTAATTTGCATGATAAAACTGTGGTTCATGCCATTTCACACTTTTTAAAATTATTTTCATGAAGACATTTAGAAATATATATAACTTTTAAAAATATTTTGGGGAAATATAAAATAGAATAAAGTGAGATCTTAGATCCACGGTCCATAGCATTCCAGATCACCAGGGGTGGACAAGTTATTGTATTGCTACACTTGTACATATAGACTACAATCCCTCAGAGACTTATTCAGTCTTCCGGAGGTTGTACACGATTCTTTTTATTGGTGTGGTCAGGGAGGTTTAGATTCGCTTAAGATACCCCTTATACCGTTCATTGATTCTGCTATTGTTGAGAGCTTAACTCTGAAGCAGCAATTAAAGATTTAAGTCCTCACCTACATTCTTAGATGGTGGATAGTACATTAGGTAGCCTTGTAGCTCCCTTTTATTGATTTTGTTATCTTGCTTGTAAGCTATAAAGTGTAAGCGCAGCTATTTCACGAATGCTTTTTTCTGACTAAAGAACAATTTTTTTCTAATGTTCTGCTCTTAGAAGGCCTTGTATGTTATAATAAGGCTGAAGAAGAGTGTTAAAGTGTAATGAGAAATAGATTAACAGGCCATGCCATTGAGTCATTGAGTCATTGAGAGACATTATGACAAGCATAGTAATTATGTTTTTCTTGTTTGGTACCTATTTCAAACAAAATCAATATTGCGCTATATTTGCCTGGAGCCTTGTTACAAACAATATAAAGGAATTTCTTCCATTTTCTTGAAGACGGTTTATCTTAGTAAAGCTACATGGAGTGCAAATTCCTTTTTCTAATAACTGTCTATCTTCTGTTTCTGAGAGTGTTCACAGGTTGCTTCAAGCATTAATCAATCACGTTGTCTATCTAAAATTGATTGTCCCTAACCTCCATTTTTTCTATAAAAAAAGTTAAACATTCCATTTCCATTTGAACTTTTGAAGAAGGACAAATTTACAGAATGTAAGAAAAGTAACATTGACATGGATATATTTTCATATGAAAAGCAACTAACAATTTTTTTGGATTTTTGTTGTTGCTATAATTCATGCGTACATGTTATGTATTTGATTACATGGTTGAATAATTGTAAGAGGACTTTGATCTTTGATGTGGACAGCTTACACAAAGGAACAGGATTATATTTGAAAATTAAATTGTTTGCTTTGTAATGACAAGAATGTCAAGAATGCTAAACTTTCACGGTCAATACCAACAGCTTACAAAAACATTTTGATTGCACTAAACAGTACATTTTACATGTACATGTATGTTGTTTGTATAAAACAGTGATTTCAATGTCACAATGAAAAAACTTTGCAAAGTATAGGCGTGGGTTTATATAAATTAAATGATTGAAAAAACAAAGGCGTAGTAAAGGATGCCAATCAAACAATGACTTATACATGTAGCAGCATTTTGAGCCAGGTTTCATACAGATTTTCATGCATTTGTTTCACGTTTATGGAAGAAAAAAAAAGTATTTTTCACGCCCTATAATTTACTTTGAACTTTAAAAGGTAAATCTTGTATACTGGTAACCACTGGTAAGGACAGAAAGGAAATTCTCACAGAATCAAAAGAAAATTATTGTGAACGTTCAAAAATACATAAAAAGGTACATATATGAATAGATTATATCATATATAAGCCAAACGATTTTGGAAGAAATGACCTCAGGAGCAACGTAAGATTAACAAATTCAGCTAGTCATCTTCACCCATTTCCAATTCCATGTACATGTATGTGCTTTCTGTTGAATTTAATTTCCAGTAAGTTTTGTGAATATATTGCTGGTCTAAAAACCCACCAATTGCCTTATACTTTCTCTTGAAATGTAATTCTATTATAACAAATAATCATAATTTGAAGCCAGTACTGTATGATTGAAACACATGAGAACAATGACGAAATTTTTAAGAGGAATCTTCAACATCGTATCCCAAACAACATGTTTATTCCCCAAATCTTTGGAATTTGTTTTTTGAAGACCCAGAGGCAAATAATTGATTTCCCAAACTCAAGAGGATGACACAATAGGTGTCAAGAAATTTGTGCAAAAACACTTCTGAAGTCTTCCTGTTTGAGGTTGAAACTCCTACCCGAGAATTACATCGCACTTTCTCATTTAAAATAACTGTAGGCCTGCTTTACAATTCAGTGGAATCATTTGCTTAGGGTTTTGTTTATTCAGCCTCCCATTACTACTCTATCAATTCTAGAATAAAAGGGGGTATACTGAGGGTGTATACTGAGGGTGTATTCAAGCTACCCACTGCCATTGTGAGAGTAGCATTCCATTGTTATTGAGTAGCCTAATCTGCTTTGATTGTTATTGAGGCTTGATGAATAGACTTCTTTTCTTTTTATTGAGTTTTCTATTCCTAGAGAGAAATAACTGTCAAATGTGAATACAATGACTGTGTACATAAGGGATGTAGAGGGAGGCAGAGGTGATCGTTTACTCGCTAATTGCTTGGGGTCACAGAGTGCATATAATGCACGCTTGTACATGTACATGGCATAACATGCATATCCAATGTAGAAATCTCTTTTATTTCTGTAATTGTTCACATCAAGCTACCATGAAGACAGTTGACATACAAATGTAGTTACATTGTATATGTATTTCTTTCATTTTTTTAAAGGTAACACTGTTTAGTTGTTAAATAGAAACAATCCCAACTCACTTTCTACAACATAAACTGTACCTTTGTTTCAATTTTACAGGCCTGATATACTCTAAAACTTCTAATAAGATTTTAAATTATGTTATTTTTATTTTGTTATATTATATATATATATATATATATATATATATTTTTTTTTTTTTTTTTTTTTTTTTTTTTTTTGGGGGGGGGGGGGGGGTTCAATTTAAAATAAATCAGAAAAAAGCAGTTACAAATTCAAAGTGATTACGGTAAGACTTCAAATTTATAGGATCCAAGTGTGCTTTGGGCAAATTGATTTTTGCTTTATCCTACGTTGTATTCACTGCATATACAGTGTAGTCTATATAATTTTTGTTCCATCCTGGAAAAAAAGACTGTGACCCATCTCACCTAGAGATATTTTCCATGATATGTGGAATAGATTTGCAAATGTTTCAGAAAAAAAAAAGTAATTTGCAAATGAGATGTCATAGGATTTAGAAATGGTGAAAAAGAAGGAAAGCCCTTTTAGACTGTGAAACCTTACCAAAGTTCTTCTAAGTAGATTACTTAAATCCCTACACTTTAATCTATAGTTGCGGAAGAAGGCCCTTCAGATCAGATATTAATCTAAAGTAGTTTTACCTGAAAATCTTGGCAAGACGGTCAACTACCTCTACATGAGGTCCAAATCCCATGTGAAGGGCTTCTCTTTAAAGGTAAAGACCAGTATTGGAAACGCCCCACTTTCAAAAAATGAAATGGAAGCTCTCATTACCAATCATGTGAAAGAATATGTTTTGACTAATACATGATGATAAAAAATTTGCCGGGAAACCGCCTACTAATTCATATATTTGGTAAATTTGTTTCTCTCATGGTCTGTGAGAGATATAGGGTAGTCCCATATACATCTTTCTGTGTATAGTGCTTGTAACTTTACAAAGAATGGGCCAAATTTCTTATCATTTTGATGATTCCAGAACCTTGCAGATGCTAGATGCTAGATGATCAACCTTTTCTGATCGATTCCACAACGTTTCTTTCACAATGCAATCGCATGACCATAACTTGTCTTTACCTTTAAGAAATGGTCCACATTCATACACGGAGCAGCAAGTAGGCAAGGTGTGCATGTACATGTAGATGAATCACTTGAATGTGCAGTTTGATTTTACTTGATTGGTATAAACTTGAGAGAATAATGAAAGGTTAGAAAGATTTTTCATGCAATTGTGTTTGATGAATTCATTATCTAACATGAAAAACATGAAATCAACTGAAAAATAGATTGTAGAAGCTGCAATTACAATGAAATTTAGTTTTCATGAATCCCTCAAATCCAGTGTACCATTCATTTCTGACATCGTGGCATGATAATGATTTTGCACATTCAATCTAAAAGTTTTGAACAGGACATTGCAGACATGTCTCCCAGTCTCATTGACTTACTTTCGATTCTTAGAACAATTAATTAGTTTATTCCAAACACTTATTGACAACCTATTTGAAACTGAAAGGATCTTTTGTGTTTGATTGGCTACATGTAAATGTTTATGATGTAAGCCTTCTGAAGTTATAACAAATGTTTATACAAGGTATCAGACTTCATAAGTGCTGCCATTAACTAACACATCTCAATTGCATCTAATCGAAACGACATACAATATACATGTAGGGGAGACCATAGAATTGTCTAAGAATTTAAAGTCAGTGATGACAATTTTCATTCAATTTCCCCATTTTATGATCTGTCCTCTCTCTATCAAATGGTATTTCATGCTTCTTAGAAATGTTGTAGTCAAGTTGTTTGAGCGCTTGCCTGGTTGTGGGTTCGATCCCTGATATGGCACTAATGTCCTTTGGGAAGGCATTAATCTACATGTACATATGACACTCCATACCCAAGAGAGAAATGGGACCTGTTACATGTACATATACATGTAGGATGACAAAATCCCATGAGTTAGTAATTGCCATATGCCATCAAGGTGACCATAATTATGATAGGAATACACCCCAGATGGTGGAGATGGTGCACATTTTGTGTCTGATAACTGGGTTAATAATATTTGAGTATCCCATAGATTTAGTGATCTCATATTCCAAACATTCCTAACTTTTATATTATTGCTATTTCAGAATTTTGCCATCCTGTACCTCTGATTTTTGTGCGAATGAACTTATTACAAGCTCGGATTGCCCTTTAAATCATCTTATAGCCACACACCTACTACGGTCTCAGATGTCCCACATCTTCAGAAGAGTGTAGTCAGTTTTGGAATTGAATTCCTGCTTGTCTTTATTCTATCTCTAAAGAGGATTTTACAGATTAGACAACTGTTCTGAATACCAGTGTTATTTTTTTCAATGATTCTGTTTCAGTAGAGATCTGGGCCTGTGCATTTTAAGACTGATTTACTTATTTAATCCTTTCTACATTTTGTATTCAATCTGATTCTATCAGAGAGCTGCTAAAAGGATAATACAAATAAAAATCTCTTCTCTATACTAATTATTCGCCCCTGTTCCATGCCTCACACCTAAGCTGCTTTTCCCTTTTTCTACAATGCATGGATTGAAGCCCTGTGAGATTTTTCCTTATCCATGATTATCCTTTTGACCTTTTCTTTCTCTAAATTTTATGGCTTAGATTGGAGATGAGTCATGAAGAACGATGACTAATGGACATGCGATGTTACATAATAAAAATAATGCAACAGACAAGATCATTTTCTAGTGAATAGATGCATCTGTTCATGAGAGTAATTTCTTCTGTATTGAACTAGAGTCTTGATCTATAATAATAATAATAATAATAATAATAATAGTGGGTTCTTGTACAGCGCTCATGTCTGTCAGACTTGACACTTCTGGCGCTCCATATTATTACCCTGGCTTTAGGATGGCTGTCATTACGGCGCTTTAGCATTTCAAGGAATTAATTCCTGCCAGGTACCCATTTACATCACCTGGGTTGAGTGTGGCAAAAGTAGATCAATGTCTTGCCAAAGGACATTAGTGCCGTGGCAGGACTCGAACCGTGGACCTTGTGATCGAAAGTCCGGTGACATATCCAATCGACCACAACACCTTGGTCTATAGCCCTGTTAAAGATATTTGTGTGCTCAAATTGCCATTCGATGTCAAAATCATTCCGCAATTTTTAAAATCCCCTCTCTACACTGATTCATAGTCAGAGTTAAATTAGTAAAATTCCATTTCTGGCACTTACTTATCAATGTCTGCGTACAAGTGCAAATTAAAGAGCTCTTCAAGTCTGTGATACCACTCCATGATTATTGAAGTAGATTTCCAAGCACCCTATCATTCCATGTTCAAGCATTGCGTTTCTGATTACGTGTATATTGAAAAACCCCTTAACCTTAGATTCTTCTCATTTTGATCTATTCTGCAGGTATGAGAGTTCTGAAGAGGATGATGAAAGTGCAAACGGGCAAAGCTTGAGTGCTTCCATTGGAGGTACAGCAGAGAGACACATCTGCTATCTCTGAAGACATCAACGATCAGGACAGAAAGCACCACTCAATGCACCTTGCTTCCTGGAGGGTTGTAACAGGAAGGGCTTAGGTGCATTCCATAGAAGTACAGCAGAGAGTCGCATTGTACTCGATCTGAAGATATCTTTCATCGTGTCAGGGGAGACCGCTGTACACACGTCTCGCTGTCTTCAAACGGTACAGTAGGCACAGCTTGAGGTAGTCAAACAGAAGTACATCACTCAGACACATCAGACATCTCTGAAGACGACATCATTCACCAAGTGTGAAACTGTTACTGGAGTCTACCGTGCAGTAGAGAGATACACACCTACTACTTCCTGATGGCCTCCTTCATCAGGTCAGAACTTCTGAAATCATGTTGCCCCCTCAGGGATGAAACTGGCAGAGGTGGAGTGCATCCCTCGGAGGTGCAGTGGAAAGACACATTTAATGTCTCTCAATATGCAGAACCCAGGTCCAAACATAAGCATTAATCTCCCCAACCATATTTTCTCTTATTCCTTGAATCTTAGATACCATCTGTTTGGAGCCAGTAGGACGTTAAGTATATGTATGTTTTAAGTATATAACACCCTTCTGGCTCCAAACAGACGATACATCATTTACAGGTGATAACAGTAACCGTGACTGCCTGCTTCCGGTATCTACAGTAAACATGCATGCCACACTGAGACAAGGTTACTTGGCAGGCCATCTCCTGAATGACATGAATCCACAGAGTGTCTTCAGCCATCTCCCTTTACCTTGAAGAAAGATTTGACGTGGGTTGAGAAGACCTGTAGCATGTAATGTAGCTACCATCAGTAAGGAATGACTGTGTTTCATGTGAAGGTGTACTGTAAATGTATAGGTATGTCATTTTGGAAAGGAGCGTATATCTATGTTGAAAGTTTGTTCCTATTTCAACCTCATTTGGCTCCATACTCTGGAGAGGAAACCTCATTTGTTTACCAAATTCCATTAGGTAAGAAACAGGTAGAGCACATTAAACCAATTGTACAGGTACAAGGAGTAGGAAACTGAAAATCAAACTAGGTATTAATTTCTAACTTTTGTTCCTACAATTTCAAATTATAGCTATAAGGGTAATCTTATGTTCAAGTTTAGCTGGTTGGTTTTGACCTGACTGCTAAGAAAGCTTGTTTTTGCTTGTGAGTAAGTAAGCAACCAGGGGACCTCTCAGATGGATTTGAAAATGAGGATTAAATCCTTACCAAAAGGCACTACCACCTTGACTCGGTTTCAAACCCGGGAACTCCCAGTTACGAGAACACTGCTTTACTACTGAGCCATCATGCCTTCAAGTACTGTGGGGGGGGGGGGGGGGGGGGACATTTACATAGAATTTAAAAAGAAACTGTATGAAATCTTCACAATATGCAAGCCTACAAATAAATGATATCTACCAATGAATGATTTTGGTGGAGAACAAGAGCAAAAAAATAGAATGAAATTTAGTTAGTGGTTATGACCACAAAAACATGTGCATACCATTGGTCCATCTCAAAATGCACTTCTATCACCAGAAGTCAAGATTAACTTGATTGACAGATTCAAAGGGATTTTATCATTGCCATACAGCCTCAAATAATGTCTTCAGATTATTTAGCACGCTGAAAACAGTTATCCATTTGTTTTGTACTGAGAATTATAAAAGAATACCGTTCTTGTTCTTGTTGGAAAAATGTCTGTAAACAAAAAATACCCAGTGAAATACGGGAAAATTGAAATTGAAGAAAGTTTTAGTATAAACCAAAATGTGAAGCAATGGAAATGAGAAAGGTGCCTGTTTGTGTTTGATAACTTTAAATCTGTATCACTTTCTTTTTATTCTTTATCAGATTCTCCTCCTACATTCAGAAATCTCTTGCTAATATTTTCTGCATTTTGAAGCAAACTTGATGTCAGGATGGACTTGCACCTTTAAGATTCAATTCACAATGTAAACTGATACTTTCCAAGATATCTTCCATTAACAATCCTGAAAAGGCATATATTGAATTATTGTTTGGGAGGAAGGATGGTATTGATAGACAAACAATATGATAACCATTAAACTCATTGTATGAAGTATCCCAGGGACCTATACTTGATATTGAATACTTAGGCATACTGGTAGACACTAAACAGAAACCAAATACTCTCATCTTTCTAAGGAGATAGGAAACATTGCCACTCAAAACTATACAACAGAGAAAGGAAAGAAAGAAAGAAATATCTGTGGTGTTGGTTCAGTTGTGCATTGAGTTTATCCAATATGAAGTGCTTAAAAAAGGTAGATTCAAAAGTTTACAGCAAAAATATTGACTTGTAGTATGTAAAAGAGGCAAGCAAACACTTATGAATTTGAAAAACCAGTGCAAGATGGAATACTCCACAATGTGCTATATTTAAAGGTAATATGAGTGGAAGCATTGTAATAGGCTAAAAGCACATGAAGCCGTAAGCCAGGAATTCAGTGATAGCACTGATTGTTAAGTGTGTATAGTTACATTGTCAGGGTTATACGTACATGCACACAGTCAATGTCATACAGATGCATCTGTTTAGGTTAGAACACTGCATATTAGGCTGAACTAAGTACTAATAATAATATTCCGCTTTTATATAGCGCTTGATACAAATGTCTCTTAGCGCTTTACAGATACTATTAACCCGGTCATTGGATTCAATACTTGCCTGCACACAGTCAATCTCCACTCCCTGGGGAGCATTCCAGCTAGGCGTTCCTTGACGCTCAAAATATGTTTGACCAACAATGACTGTCGCATCCTACCTATGCATCCACTCTTAAATATCCTTTGTTTCAAGCACAAATATCAAATCTACTGGATTGACTGATTGGCATGTCAAACTTATAATACTTCTGTAATATTACATTATGTCTTAATATCAATACAGCAGGCACAGCAATTTTTCTTTTAATGAGATCACAAGCAATATCACTGTATATCTTCACCATATTCCTTCATATGGTCTAGATGGTATAAAAGTTATCTTGTTTTCTTTTTGAAGGGATATTTTACTAGGTTTAGGAGATGAGCTGAGACCTTGATTAAAGGTAAAGACCAGTTATGGTCATGCGATTGCATTGTGAAAGAAACGTTGTGGAATCGATCAGAAAAGGTTGATCATCTAGCATCTAGCATCTGCAAGGTTCTGGAATCATCAAAATGATAAGATATTTGGCCCATTCTTCGTAAAGTTACAAGCACTATACACAGAAAGATGTATATGGGACTACCCTATATCTCTCACAGACCATGAGAGAAACAAATTTACCAAATATATGAATTAGTAGGCGGTTTCCTGGCAAATTTTTTATCATCATGTATTAGTCAAAACATATTCTTTCACATGATTGGTAATGAGAGCTTCCATTTCATTTTTTGAAATTGGGGCCGTTCCAATACTGGTCTTTACCTTTAACCTCAACATTTCTAAAGGAGAATTTTACTTGTAGTTCTATCTTTAACAGAAGAGCTACATGCATTTGATGGCTCAGTGATAGAGCAGTAGTCTCGTAACCAGGAGGTTCCATGTTCAAAATCAAATCAATGCGCCAGTGAATAGGAGTCAATGTGCCCAAGACCAACTTCCAATACTACAAGACCAGGGGGGTGTTTCACAAAGACTTAGATCAAATTTAAATTGGACTTAACTATGGCAGGCTGTTCATGCCACTAGTTCCTCTAAACCATTCCTGGCATTGGTTTCTCAAGGGATGTACAAATCATGGTCACAAATCTACAGAATTTACATGATTTTTTGATAGTTCATTATTGAAGGAAAAAATATTATCTAAAGATCATAATTGATGGACCAATGGTGAGAGCAACCAGTGCCATAGTTAAGTCCGACTTAAAGTCGATCTTAGTCTTTGTGAAACACCCCCAGGTCCCTTGGATAGGATGTAAGAACATATCTCCATTGGTTGCTTAAAGGCATATACTAGATTTCTAAACGGACTGCTACATCTTTCTTAAATGTAAAGCAAACATCATATAAATAAATTTGTATGAAGTGTCAGGGTTATAGGATCATGGTGAACTTGTGCTGAATTTTCATGTGCACTATAAACATAAGGAAAATATAGCATCATGCCAGGACGTACAGGCTTTGGAGAAAACTACCAGGTTAATTCTGCATTGAATGCATTGTCATACATAATGTTTAATACACATATTCATGAGGGTCCTTCAACTTATCATGAATACTGGGTTCGATTGGCAGGGAGACATAAAATTGAACATGCAGGCTATTAATAATCATATCAAAACATTTATATGCAAACTGCTGTGTCATGTAAAGGGTTAGGAAAAAGTATCCACAGTGTATATATACATGTACTTCATGTTTGTAAGTGCCTTAGTAAATATGAGCTGCACTCAGGTTTAAGCTACAGTCTCATAATGAACAAGACATGTTGAGTTCATATCTGTCTCATTTGTGACTTGACAATGTCTGAATGGGATTGACCACTTACAGATCTCACACCTATTGTGCATTCTCCACTCCTTGGGGACCATTCAATCAGTCTTCCTTCAAAGGTACTCGCATGCTAATTCAAACCATTCTTATGGATAGAAATGGAAAATGCGCAAAAACATATTTTAGGCTAAGGATTTGGAACAAAAGGTTGATGAAAAATTTATTCGGAGTTGAAACTATTTTTTTGTTTACTGTTGTATGTTTTGACAAGGGCAAGCCTATGCAAACGGGAACCAAAGGTCTCATGTTGGTATGTGAATATTACCATCGTATTCTTCTGCACTATTTATATGACATCTATATTTTATATGCTCACAATGATTTTGACATCCATTTCATGTGTAGCTAAGTTACAATCAATTCTTTATACTTTATCATGATCAGAGTTTGTTTTGATCAAGATTATGTAAGTAAGCCCACCAAGTATATGAGCTCTTTTATGATGAAAATATCTCTTACTACTGGTATATTTTAATATAATTTATTATTGCAGGGTGGTCCACAAGGAGTTTAAACATGAAAGAGCAACAGGTTGTGAAAATCATATAAAGGTGTTTGTTTTGAACATTAGCAAGAGGTTAATATTCATTCTCAACCAAAATTATTGAAATGTTAAAAAAATTAGTGCATCTAATAACCTTAGAACCCTTCAGCAAGGGCACGAGACCAGCACAAGGGGCTTTGTGATTCGCATACATCAGTTTATACTCCTTCCACATTCCAGTTTTACTTGTTTTAATTTTTGTGTGTGGACTACCCTGATGATTGCAATCAAGAGTTAAAAGATTACATTTTTAATGTAAATGACACATTTTGTTTTGAAGCTTTCTTTTCGATATACTATGAGTTTAAGAAATATGAATTATGCATTTGCCAAAAAATCGGCCTTGTAGAAAATGTTATGATACAATAATGATAACATATTGTTTTTTGATTGAATGGTTATGATTCCGCTTTGAATTGTGCCCACGCCATCAGACAGTGTTCAAAATACTTTTTTGTTTGCAGGAGCTCTTTTAGTATCCGGTGTTGTATAAGTGCGATTTTCTCACATTATTTTATTGTTATATTACCAGAGCTCGTTTTCAGTTTATCAGAGCTATTTTTTGATCTTTCCAGAGTTAAATCACTCTCAGATCCTGTGTATCTTTTTTTGCTGCCATCATATCATTATTTGTTGTTTATATGCAGAAAACTAGGTCAGTGATACACCTAACTCACACCGATTTAAGAGAGCCCAGACTAGATAATCACGGTTTGGGAATGAATCCTTTTGGAATGTAAAGAGTCAGGAAATGGTACTTTGTAACATGATACTTCAGAACTAGTGTGTTGGCCTCTTAATGAACTTTAGTCATGTGAATTGTGACATTCATCCATAGTTCAAATTGGAATTATTTGTTTGTGGAAATTGCTCGGTTACATGTAGTGAAATCTACAATGGATTTTAAAGTGTACAATCATCTATTTGTATACAGGTAGAATGTATAAAATCAGCCTTCAATATAGAAATTAACCTGGCATTCTATGGGTTAGCAGTTAAGAAGCATGAAGAAATTAGGATAAAATTAACCCTGACATATGCAACCCAAGTCTGACTTGAGTTCTGTGTGTGCACTATTCTGCTGTAAGCACATACATACAGGTATATCTATCAGTCTATTTACTAGTTGCCTTTGTGAGTGTATATGAACTTACAATGTTTCTTTATTGAAGCAATATCTGAGGCTCAAATTTTGAATATAGTATAGCAACATGGACCCCTGACTTTACACAGAGCAAAACATTTCCTGGTGATTGATACACCTTAAGGACATGAGAGAGATTCATTTCACATTGAGTGTGGAGATCAGGGGAAACACATTATGAAAGGTTGACAAATACTATCATGACATTAGGGTACATCAAATCAGCAGATTATTATTGAAATGTATGAAATGTTTAGATCGCCAAGAATTGACTCAATTCTCAGTCAATCTTCTTTTACAGATTAATTTTTTTCTTTAATTCAGGGAGAAATGTGTATAAAGTTATCTGGATGGCAGTGTTGTTCATGTTGTTTTTGGTTTTATATGTGCTTTAAGTAGACATGCGGTCATGCTGTAGCAAGTGGGAAGACGTTTGAGGCTGAAATTTTGAGTTGAAAATCTTCTTTTGAAATATATATTCCATACTATGTTCATCAAAATGTATTTGCGTTTGTTCACAATCATATATCATTTCCAACAGTGTATTCAAACTTTGTGAAAAGCAAAGTAATAATTGTATAAGTTGTATATGTACATACTTTATATAAAAAGTGCTCTTGTAGTGTACCATATTGACTTCAACCACCAAAGGTTTTCAAATGTTTGAAATTATACATGATTTGTATTTTTCTACTTTTCTACTTTTCTACTTTATAGATATATATGTTTAATGTAAGATCATAATGTTGTTTTATGATCATCTTTGATGTAATTGGATATGTTAGGAGGAAGAAGTTAAAATATTATTTATCATCACTTAGTCTGTAGACACCAAGACCCATTATTGGCTTGTAAGATTTATGCACTGCTCGTTCAGAATTGTTATGAACATTGTAACGTTGATCAATATTTACGACCCTTGTTATCTATTTCAAGGCATCTCACTATGTATGTATCTTAACTATGCACATTGATTTATTTAAATGTAACCAAGTATTAATTGTTGCAAAGTGACGACTATGATAATTCACATGATTGTGAATAATCATGGATATAAACTAATTAAATGAAAGAGCACTGTATTTAAGAACAGTATCAAATTGAAATGTAATCTCAACAAAAATATTATTTGTCATGTGATGATGAAATCAACAAATTCCTACTCCCGAAATATTCGTTTTTTCTTCTCAATCAAGGAAGCATACAATCATAATCATTATTTATTATAAGATGATAATCATCCCTGTAATTTTGATCTATGTTGATCATGTACTAAATCTTTCCTTCAAGAAATCAATATATACATGTATATGTCAGAATTGATACTGCGATACAACAGCATTATATAAAAGGCAACGTTATGTATTTAGTGTTGGATTTTATTATTATAAACAACATCAGGTTCAAGGTTATTAGGAATGTGTATCACTGTTTGTTCATCTTCTTCCTCCTTCTCATTTTAATCATTTTCATCTTAATGGTATTCATTATAGATATCCTCATCTTTATCAGCATCAAAATGATAATCAAAACTGTTATACCTTGTTCATCATCATCATCATCATCATCATCATCACTACCAGTGTTGTCATCATTATCACTGACATCATCATTATCAATATCACCATCACCATCACCATCACATCATCACCATCATCATCATCATCATCATCATCATCATCACCACCACCATCTTTTCTTCATCATGAAAATCAACAGCATAACAAATCTTTGCCACCTCTAACAGTGAAGGACATTGTACACACCAACCTTTATGAACCTCCTTATGTCTTCATTCATCTGCTTTTACAAACTTTGCATATTATATTTGCTGTTAAGATATAAGTATCTGTTGTTTCACTCATTACCTTTATAGAAGTGACCTTGAAAGAGTGTATTTCTTCTCTCACTGGGGGAATGGATTTACATGCAACAAATAACTGTTTACCCACCTTATCGAGCTAAGAAAATTACTGGTATTTATATAAATGTTTTTTTATCAAAGTCACATTGTAAGCAGCTGAAATTTTGTTTGAATCATGTGTATTCACTCGATGCAAAATGTTTCGTTTACTTTTTCACAATATATTTTATACGTATGTGCACAGCATTGCTTATTTAAATAAAATATTGACCATAAGGCGAATTCGAAATTTGTGTTTTTTCATTCTATGAGGAAAATGTTAAGTGTGTATTAGAAGTGAATTTGATGATGATATGAAGGAGAATCATTTGATACAATGAAGAGGGTTAACAGGGGCATAAATGGACAGAATATTAAATAGTATGGAATTATAAAAACCGCTGGAAACTATTAACTCGGCCCCTGATATAGAAAGCGTGTACATGACCTGTGTACCTCACACCGTAGGATATTTAGATCAAGCCAGGATTTTAAAAAAAAAATGTAAAGGGAGACAGGGGGAAACTTGACCCTCTATACCCCCCCCCCCCTAAAAAATAAAAAAAAAAAAAAACCTGGCACTTTAATAATTACCTTGTTAATAGCCTGATATCCCATTTTTATTTTAGAATCGTTGATATCAATAATCTAATAACTCTACAATAAAAATATATAGATTCATTATGAAAAAGTCTCCAGTCACAAGTTCGTCAATGAAGATATGATTTTTATTAACAATATAATTTGAGTACATACATTTATTTTTCATTTCAACATTTTACTGTAAGAAACATGTGCACCTCTTCAATCTGTGATAAATAAAAATGATTGCATTTCGCTCGATGTATGTACAATACATAACAATAATGTACACCAAACTATTGAAAGAAAATCTGTTCATAATTGCACTTAACTTTCCATCCCCATACTTATTGATTATCGCCTACTCGATGTTTCATACAAATTGTTGCAGCTCTGGATACATAAATAAAAAAAAACATGACGAAGATACATAAATACGTAGGTAATTAAATTCATATTGCTTTGTGACATGCTAACGACATATTAATATCCCATTACCCCGACCAATTAACGCATCAGTGTGGCACGTATTTGTACTTATGTCGAATATGGATACCCATAAAAATGTCATTTCAAGGTAACACTTTAAAAGTCTATTGTAAATTCTTTAATTACTTTTTTACATATCTATTGTAAATTCATTAATTACTTAATTAAGATATCTATTGTAAAATTTATTATCATATTTTATGCAGCTATTAACATAATGTGCAGCTTATTTCCCAGTACTTATACAGTGAATGAACCGATGTGAGTGCTTGCCATTTTTATGCCAATATATCTCCCTGTTCTTCCTTATGAATTGCTGTTATTGGCGATACAATATATTTTACTGAAAAGACACACCGCTTTAAGTGACCATTTGCTCCAAGATTGACTTTCGAATAAACAATACAATCATTTTATGCATTTGTTTACCGAAAATCGGTTTCCACTCATTATTATTCTCATGACCATCGTATAACAATGCACGTGCCATTCTTGGATACTACATCCGTTCAAAGCGGAAAGCCTATGAAAAGATCCAATCCTTTTCTACTGAAAATATGCCTTGTATTCCATGAGATTCAGTGGTAAATTAGGCGATCGGCACGATTTATAAATAAATGACTACGTGCAAGAACAATCAACTAAGAAAATGTTGAATCAATCCTCATTTAATAGCACAAAAATGCTAATCACAATAGCATTGTTGTAAGTTTCGTATACGTGGTAGGCCTACTTCTCTAGTCTTGTAACCATACTGGATCTCATATGACAACTTAAACATGTAAACCTCTCCAAAAAAAAGTATGATCAATCATATCTCTCTCGTCGTGGCCTTATCGTCGAAAGAAAAAAAGAGTGCTCTGCATTACAATACCAGTGCTTACCAGTTTATTTTGCAATTTTTGCTTTTGACCCTGCCCCTTATTCTGATGTACTGCTCACGCCATGGCTGCAAAATCATAAAAAATATGGTATTACTTAAGAGAAGAATAAACACACATTACACACTTTGTAATGATATCAATCAAAATAATTATTATGCCTTGAAAAGAGAGCTATGATCAAGCCAACTTTCGTTTCCAAACTTTCAAGCTTGCTTACAAAATAAGTAATGTGTATTATAACTGATTACCTCCCCTTGTTTTTAATTTATTTGTTGAAATATTTTAAATACTTTTGATCTTTTCAAAAAAGTAAACGAAATGAGAAATTGTAAATAGAATACCACGGGTGGTGACGATGTTGTCAAATCCATACAGAGACAACGCAGGAAAAGAAACAGTATTTTCATACGATATGACATAACGAATGAAAATCATTACTGCAGTCTGTAAATTGCCTCATTGTAAATAAAATGATATAAACATCCGTTTATTTTACATTGTTTATGCTATCCGGCGCCATCGAATTTTAATGATGACATACTTTTTACACGCTTCGTACAATGTATAATTCGACACTGCGTTATACACCCTTATTATCTTGCAGCCATGCAGGGGTGACGCCAAAATGCCGAATGACATTCCTCTTCATAACGTGACAAAGCACTTTAGAGTACTCCTAACCCTTCGTAAATCTCAGTGATGTAAAGGGTTATTTTAGCCTTTTTAAAGCTTACCAAAGACATCTCACTTTTTACCGGGCCATATGGACTCATATTGATCATCACGGGCTCTGAATTGTCTGTGTAGTAAGTCGTACTCCCCGTCCATGGGAAGGTTTTTACGGTTCTCAACTTTCCCATCAGATCTCTGGGCATTGCCATTGGTCTTGGTCGAATCGGCTTTATGTGCTTCTAAGTAGTCGTAGTCGTCCTCCTCGTCGTGACGTAGAGTTGGAGCTTGAGCTCGCTTGGTAGGAATATGGGTTAGTCTCTTTGCGGAGCGGTTGAGATGTGAGTATTCGCCATCAGTCTCTGCGGCCTTCACGGCGCTGCTGTACCCCGTGTTCCCTCGTGACGTCTTCTGCTTATCATCGGGACCAAGTCGACTACCGGTGTTCACACCTCTGTTCAAACAGCTATACTCTCCTTTCTGACCTTTTGACGGGGCCGAGTATGTATACGACCTCGTGAACCGGAACTGCTTGGGTTTGTCCTGATCCACCACTTCCTCTTCCAACTCATCATAATCACTGTCTTCTGTCGGCTTATACGATGTCCTGTTCGACGAGGCGTTCGAGCTGGATGAGGTGTACAAAGATTGATAGCCACGATCGCTACACTTAGAATCCGAGTTCGACATCGTCAGAGGCCTTTTAGATGGGAATTCTTTGCTCAGGGTCGAGACATGATCTACCGGTTCGGCGTAGTCATCAAAGTCATTATCGGGTGTGACTGTCTTCGTAACATACGGCTTCGTAACCGTGTTTGAGCTGGATCTGCTTCGAGATGAGCCTGGAGATGAACTCCCTTCATTAAGTGAATTGGTGGATTTGTTAAGACGGAGACTGTTGGCCCAGTTAGCAAAGACGTCGGTGGCCTTACTGTCTTTCCTTGGAGCTTCCAAGGTTGTCATGTTACTCAGTGATGACGTACGTAGCAGGTAGATCTCTTTAGTGATGGAACTAATGCTGTCTTGAGCTTTGAAGGACTCGGCTCGTTCTCGGGCTTTCTTTGCTAGCTTGTCAATCGTCTTGCTATTGGTTCTGTATCGACCTACAGTGAAGAAGAAAAAAGAGGAAAAAATTATTATAGTGAAAGTAATCACTGTCTTGTTTGATAAATGAAGAGTGAAACGTCTAGTCTGTTGAAATAAATGTGCTCTTAATGCATAATAATGTCACATATTCAGCTACATATACTTCATATGTCCCTTGGCACACAATCACGAATCAACGTTAACAAAATATTGAAAACTAATTGTGTTAAATGTGTCGCCCTCAAAACTGCAACATGGCGGCACATTCGAACAACAAATTATTGAATCTTTAATAGTAAAAGTTACTTCCTTGGGGTGATTTATCAATCGTATGATAATGTTACATAGACAGGGTGTGATCAGTGCATAATAAGGAGCCCGTACTAAGTGGGAAAAACATGATTAAAGTTAACATACCTTCATTTTCTATAGAATTGTTTTTGTCTGCAATGACGTGAATGTATTGGAATGCAAATAAAAAGTCATCAGGTTTTTCCATGCAATTTAATGCTAAAAAAATACGGGTTGCTTTAAAATGTTACGATATATCCGTTTAAAACCACGTGCTGGTATGGGCTTTAACTTCGCCATGGATATGCCCCCCCCCCCACACACACACACACAGATCACTGCCAGGCACAAGCCCGGATAGAAGAGGAGGATTGGGCAGAGAGCTACTATACTATCAATCATACCTTGTACTATTGTATTTGCTACATTAACATCAAGTACAAGCCCCCTAAATGATTTTTTTTTAAAGGCTGCCCTGTGAAACTATATTCCTGTGAAAAACATGTAAAGTATAGCAACTGATCCATCATAGCATCAGCTCTAGCGTTGTAGAATTTGTATAAGTCATAATTATTTAGGACAAAATCTCCTTTTAATTTGATTATTAAGTGCTACGCTACATGACTGTAAAATAATTATTATAACTCTAAGAAAATCCTTATTAATAAGTTGATATACAATTTTAAAACATATTCATGGCAGTATCAAACGAACATATTCACTTTTTCAACACAGGGAAGTGTATATATTAAGACCATAATACATGTGCATATAGCTTTGCATTGCCACTATCGTCATTAGCAAAGATTGTGATTGAATTTCGGAGAATGTACAGGCCCTTAAAATATTGTCTATTGACTCTATAACGATAACATTAGGAAAACACTGCAACTAATGTTGTTTCACAACATCGCAAGCTGGATGGCAAAAGAAAACATGAAATCTACAAATATTTAGGCATATATTATATAAGGCTCACCAACAAACGTGATCTTGATAGTAGAGAACTACAACGCAGGAAACTTTTTCTTTCCGGTAGGTGTATTTTTTGTTAAAGGACTTCCGCAATATATCAATGCTTTCTGCCTACACTATCTACCTGCTTTACACAATAGGCGCAATATTCATCTAATCAGCCTGTCATGTTAGATACGTTTAGATATATCATATTTAAGGGGGGGGGGGTATATTAGAAACGATTTCTACCTATAATGCACCCCGCCCTCTTAATTACAAAATTATCAGCCCAACCTCTCCCCAAAGTATCTCGCGCAAGGCTACACCAAATGTCAGCACTGCACTGTCATCATTTTGATATCATATTTTGTTATTAGCGCTTATCTTATATAGTGAGGTATAGACGGTTATTATCAGCCCCTTCGGAGCTAGAGGCGCATACTGTAAAGCCCCTTGAGCATCCCCGCAGAGATGTGTCTCCATTGGTATGTTAAAATGCCCCGCGCAAGCAGCGTATGGATATTAATTAAAGAATTCCTGCAGGGAACGTTATGGGAGAGGATAAACCTACATTAATTGGATGGATGGGTTTATCACACTATTAAAACTCAGACAGAATGACTCTCGTGTGTCTGCTACCACATTAAAACAAATAAGTTATACAGGGGCGGAGGAGCGTCTTTCAAAGTGGGAGTGCACCAGCAAATCAAAGCGTCATAACATCAACAGTACAAGGGGAACTTATCATATTTGAAAGGGGCACTTATCAGAGGTGAACAGGGGAATTTATAAGAAGGGGTATTCATTAAAAGGAAAAGCGGCATCTTTCAAAGTAAAGGGGGCACTTATCAGAGCTGAAAAGAGGTATTTTTCGTACCTATAAAGGGGCACTCATCAGAGATGAAAAGGGGCACTCATCAGAGATGAATAGGGGCACTTCTTGAAAGGGAAGATGAACTTATTACGAATTAAAAGGGGGACTTTGGGATACTCGAAAAAATATTGTAGGGGGCACTGTGCCCCCAGTCCACTTCCCCGCGGAAGCGCCGCCCCTGAATTTACAAACTTTTAAAATCAAAACCATTTGAATCCTGGGAACAATAAAAGACTGGTTTCTATTTCTCTGTGGTTGTAGGACACATGCTCCTGGGACAAATCCTCCGTGGTCCGTGGTGATTTCGTTCACTCATTGAATTCCTAACTTCAACCCTGAAACCAACCAACCCTATAGGACCGTTCACACATAAACATTAGTGCGATTTGTTGCAAAGATCGATTTCGTTTGCTACCGTTCATACATACAGATTTAGTGAGAACTGGATCGGGATGCAAAGATCGATTTTTAAATCTCACATATTTCTGTATAGGTGTAAAACCCCCAGTACCTCATCCTAAAAAATATAAGCCTAATCCTAATCTAAAACTAGATTAAAACCCTTAACCCTAACCCAGTAATTCATTTGACGAAATAAAACCTGGAGTAATAATATTGTAGCCTGAGTAAATGTCGGATCAACCTCACGGAAAGGGAGTAATTCAATGATTTAGGTTACCGACTGAACATTTCATCAATCTTAACGATTGTATATCAACTTGAAATTCCATTTACATCATCATCTCTATACGCTTTGAGACGTCATTAGAAATGATATACTTTTCTTAGTGGCATGATCAGAAATTGATGAAATATACAAAAAGAGGGTAGGGGCAAACTGTTTTTATGGGGGTGGGGGGTCAAATAGCGACGATATTTAGTTTGTCTTTTGTCTTAATCATTTTTGTTTATTCAAACTGCAACATTATTTTAGTTATACTCAACCCACACACCCTCCCCCACATTGATTGTTCTTTAAATTCCGATACATGGCATTGGTTTTAAATGGTAAGTGTATCTCCCGGAAACATTGCTTTCTTGTCTCGTATCCAATGACGGACATGGGTCTAAACCAGGATATGGGAAAGGAGACAGCCGAAGGGGAAAAACCGCACACTTCATAGAATACCATCGAATTTCGATGTGAAACCAACTCAAAATAATATTCCCATGTTGTTCGATAACCATTGACAATATACTTCCAATATTTCAAAAATCTTGTGATCACATTAGCAGAGTAGCTAGCTCAGAGTCTAAGGGTGATTTTTGTTTAATAGCAGTGCATGCTTGAATGACATCTTTCATAACATTTATACTTCGGAATCAGAAAACTGAATTGCTTTATTATTTTGGGTACCCGATTTTTACATATCATTAGCATATCATCTAATATATTGCACTTTTGTCAGTTGATTTGCAAACAAAATAAAAGGAAGCCGAAATTTAATGATCATTCGATAGAACTGTGGGAAAAGAAAGAAAAAAGATTACAAAAAGAAAGGGAAATCAACTAAGAATTAAAGAAGAGGAAACAACAAAATCTTTTTACAAATGATAAGGATGTAATGATTTAAGAGGAGAAGCAAACATATAAGAAATTATAGAAGTGAATCTGAAGACTGTAACTTATTTTCGATTCCCTATGTGATTATAGGACATTTTAAAATCTTAATATACCAAATATGGTTAAATGATTTTTATGTGGTTGGAGAAAGGGAAACTGTCGATTGCTAAACAGGAATAGCACAGATTTAATCATTCTCACGGATGGTAATACTGGCCTGGTAAAACACACGTGACAAAAATCATATACAGCTTGAAACCACGTTTTTCCTTCTACACGACCACCACCATTTCCGCACAGCAGGCCATCATTGAATTCAATTAGCAATAGAACCGACGTCAATCATATCAGGAAGATATAGTTTCCAACTTTTAGGTACATAGTGAAATATGGGAGAATATTCCAATGAATAAGATAAATGCGATAATAATGATATGGAATGTATATATCCGAAATAGAAAAAGACAGGGCAGAGTTATGAATCTGTGTAGATATAACCATGCATTAGTGAGAGTCATCTGACGCTCATTCAAGAAGGTTTGGTGCTTGCAGTACCATGATAAATGGTATAATTAGAAAAATCTAAATATAAAATATAAAGAAATCCTGAGTAAAGTCATACTGACGATGTCCAATCAAACTGAATGTATTGCTAAAAATAAATAAATATATAAATAAATAAATCTTTAGTATATTTATACTGATAATTTCAAATTAATTTCAAATGTATTACCAACTTTAAAAACAACTATCAAAATATAATAATGTTTTTTGAAACTTATACGGACAATTTTCAATCATTTAGATACCATGACAATTTATAAGAGTTATAAGTTTTAATGAATGTTACATTCATTAAAACTTCTATCTTTGATTGAGGTTTTAAGGGTTTTATGAATAATGTTAGTTATCTTTAGCGCAAAATGTTACAAATGTTCAGAGATATGATGAATTTGATCAGGAAATAAAAAATAAATGCTTCTCAACAGTCTAGTAAACAGAAAAAGAAATGGCTAAGTCACTATTCCACTTTCATCTTACACTATATTTTGTTGCAATACTTGAGCCTAAACGGTTCCACCTCTTTTTTTTACACAATTACAATCCATGGCTAAAAAGACAGTGTTAAAAAATTATAATACTTCCTCCGTATAATCATTTATATCTTATCCTATATATACCCCGAGACGCCAACAATCATATTGTTTACGTCAGAAATTTGATATCATATATACCAGGAAGCAAAATCCGATCTCGGCCTTCGAAGCAATGGGGGAAAACATAGGCGTACGGGATTATTCTCGCGAGGGGAGGGTGGGGGGGGGGGGGGGTGTAGACCCTCTTTTTACTAGTGTAATTTTGTTGACACTTTATTGTAAAGAAAATAAGAGAAATTATATACAGACATCTCTGTCTCAATATCACTGCCTCAATATGAGGTTATTCAAGAATCTCGCTGTCCGAACATCGGAACTTTTAAAATTCCTGGGATCTGTAGCCTCCTAGCTTGCCTGTACCCGCCTAGTACGCCTGAGGGGGAGGCCTATACATTTTCTTTTTTTCTTCTTTTTTACGTTTTTAAAATCCAAAATAAAAATGTTATTTCCTGTTCGCCGTCGTTTTGAATCTATCATTGTTGTAAATGAGTGTAAAATTAGTATAAAAGATAGACCCGCATGCATCCACCATTGAGTAGAGTAGGCGTATACCACCCCCTATCGTTCGAAGGCCCATGGAAAATGAAAACGATTTGTAATGGGTTTACAACACTCGCGGCCACCCTATTAATTAAAAATGACGTCGTCCGAAATAGATTCCCGACCCTAGATACAGGACTATCTTTCTACCTGGACGTTTAAATATGAAACCCCTGATGAAAATGAAACACTATTTTCATTGAACAAGCTCTCGGTGCCCCCAAATCGTATATATTTCAAAAGAAAACGAGACTTCATTAATAAAGTAAATAAACAATGAGCTACAGACTATACATTTTTATTTTGACGATGAACATCTTACACGCCCCCACCGCAACTACCCCTCGTTTCTGGATACACGACGATCGATCTATACATGATTTCTTTTCTTTTAATTTTCAAATCCCTGATTTAAATGAAACGGCTTCATTCATTTATCCCCCCTACACTTCAAATCATGCACATTTCACAAAGAATACGAGACCATTTATAAAATAAATGAATATTGAGCCACAAACTTTACATTCGTACTTTTGACAATGAACACTTTGCATTCACCCCCCCCCCCACTTCCACAAGTCCAGCCGCCACCATGCAGAGTGTGGCAAACAGGAAAAGATAGGACTTAGAATCACTCTCAACTGGAAGTGAACTATGTCGGACAACAAAGCTCTACCCAATTTATTCTCAGGAACATTAACATCACAAGATAAGATTGGAACATGTGGTTATCTCATAACCAAGGACAAAGTTTATTTCCCAAATTTTATCCTGTGAATTTTACTTTTGAGTAAGATCAAGAGCTAAACTATATTAAAGGTACTGATATTCATTTTGTCAGCCTTGATATAAGTTTCATAACATATGTAAAGCCGAAATATTAGCAATTAAAACCGTCACTTTCTCTACTCTGAATTGAAACAAAAATAACAGGTTTTTTCAATCGATGAACAATAGAATCATAGAAAATCATTATATAATCCAGGAATTTTCAAACGAAGCAAAATGATATTCTGAATATTTTTCAATGCAGTTTATTTTGTTATTTGGTTAACACTAACCGAGCGCTATCAAAATTTATGATAAAATCGCAGTTTACGGGAGAAAAGTCATCCAGTACGTTTGTTTTAAACCCATCTGCCTACAAGCCACAATATAGATAAAATAACACAAAATCCGAACTTGGAAAGTGTCTAGAATTCTTGATTGTGTCTAACATTAAGAAATTGCTTTAATGTCAGACTTTTATCTATAAAACAATCAGTTGTCTTTACTTATAATTTCCACAAGTTTCCTTTGTTTTAATAAATGTATGTCCCATATATTTAGAATGAAAACACTGCTCAAAAACTGAGATACACAGGTTTTAATGAAATTTGATCTAGAACCAGGAAGATTCTGAACGCCAAGTAACACTATATTCTTAACCCTGACAGAGGTTTTAATCACTCAGAATTTTAATTGCATGGGACAAGGCCTCGCATACAGCCTGCACGTCATCAAATTATTGCCCATATTCTTACAGTTTAATGAGGTGTAAATCAGTAATCCTATATGGAGATAGTCCCTCACAATGTAGAACCAGAAGTTTCAGGTATTTTCTCCCATTGCGTTAAGGTCTAATAGCTTTAGATTTTAATAATTTTGTTCGCCTTATCATAGCGTAGATCAAACCGAATTCGAAGGAAAATAATACCTCCGATCTAAGTTCTGTTCAGATTTTCGTTCAGTTCGGTAATGTATTTGGGACACAGAAGTACTACATAAAAACTGAACTTGGCTTTTTCTGAAACGATTTCCTTGTAATTTATTCTTTGTGCATTCTTTTTTTTCTTTAGTACAACTAATTATTATAAAAAAATGTCTTCGCAACTCCTGTGAATTGAATTATACACACAAAGGTTAATGATACATAATATCGTCTGAGCAGCAGTGAACCAATTGGATTAGCCTATGTTGGGCTCTCCACACCATCGGTCTATAATTAGTTGTTGATACCTGGACAGGCTATTTCGCAATTGCACAATAAATATGAACAATGTATACATTCAAGGTCTGATCTAAGGAAAAATGCATAAAAACGTCACATGGTACTGTGCGTAAGCCTAAATGTGGTATTTTAAGATCGTCATATTAAAAGATAGTTTAAAGACAAGTATCACCCTTAAAGCGTCTAAAGATATGAAAACAAAAATTATACTAGAAAATAAAATGAATTACTGTTCAATAATGCTTACCATTTGTAGATTCGACGATCTCATAGACGTTTGTATCTTCCAGTCTTTTCTTGTGTGTTCTGGGCAAACAGAATGAAAAACAAGAAAATAGATGCCTGGTATTAATACCAGTAGATTTATTGGACGGACTCTCCGGTTCCAGACCTCTCTTGTATGCCATTTTGATGGCGTCAGTTCTCACTATCAGATCCAAACGACCTAGAACCCGCTTCTTACTATCTCCTTACTTCCAACGAACCAATATACCAGTAGAAAGTGTTTTAAGAGAACTTTCAAGTTAGTTCCTCCTTCTGCTATGGATATGCTTTCGATCACCAATCGACAAAGGCCTTTATACCACAGGAAAACACGACAGCGCGGAAATGGTCGTTGGCATGGCGACAGCAACTTCCCGCCTTTTTTCTTTTTTGTTGCTATACCGGTACAATATACTTCAATAGCTGTTTTGGCACCAGTATATGCAATTCATAACTTTTGTGAAGTGTCAATGAAAGAAAAAGAAAACGAGCTTTCGATTTACTATTGGTTGTCATAGATGATTACCAGGCAACGCAAGTTTTGAAAGTGTACATGAGAGAAGTTTCTTGGCACTCCACAATGATGTATCGCTAAATGACGCAGCGCATCTCATTCTTTACAACGTCAATTAACATGGACCCTAGAGACGGTTTCGGTCTGCTCTGTTTGTTATTCAATTTCAGAGTATGATTTGTTATCGTATATATCATAGTTACGTGTATTTTAGTTTTGGTATGCTACATCTGTTTTGATATTATTGTGTCTCTTTGAAATTGAAATTCCGGTTGATTAAATACAGTCTCTTGGGTCATTACAAGTCACAATCATGAATTCAAAACTTCGAACTTATTGGAAGGAATAATTGATATAAGCGAACCCTAATTGTGTAAATACTACTTAAATAGCAATGACGACCTCCCCCCCCCCCCCCCCCCCCCCGTCGGTTGATCACCGCCCTGTTCTCTTCAACTTATAGATGAACCGAACATTCATTGTTTGCCTCGATCCACACCATCAATACTTAGGCTAGTACCAATGACAGCGATATGTTCATATTGCATTGATCAAGGAAATGGAATAAAGGAAACAGAATGATTGATTCGTAAAAATCTATACCACATGCACGAGGAAAGGTCAATGACATATGGTTATGCAGTTTCCATTTTTTTTAAAAACACGTAATTGATAGTAAGTGTGAGCTGTTTTGCGTAAATGAGTAGAGATTTGACATAAACAAAGTCCGACCTATATTTTTTGAATACTTGAGATGACTTTTCTCTATTATTTGAATAATTAGGTATCAGTGATTTTCTCTTTCTTTACTTCCTCCAAAATTCTCCATGCTTAAACAGTAACTGGAAGTGTTCCAAAACAAACCGAAAGATCGTGTCAGCTTTCGAGATTACGACATAATAAAGATGTCCAGACGTCATGGCATAAACCCCGTCTTTTGTTTACGACAATTAGAGACTTTCAAATAATTGTTTATCCAGTTTATGGTCCGTGTCAAAAAATGTCAAACTAATTGATTGTTTTGTGGTTTTGAATAAAGATAAATGTTACAAATCATAAGTACATAATCGTACTGATGGTTACAAAAACACATTTTTTTCTTCTTTCTTGTAGAGTGTTGGTATATTGTTTGCAGTACACTAGTGAGGTGCACTAGAATGAACAAATATTTCATTAGATATAAAAGACTAGACAATGAAAAATAATAGAACTCTGTAAACGTGTTAATTCGTCCAGATCACTACCAGTTCCTTTATTTGAAGACTGCGTCATTCCCTAAAAAATGCAGGTCATTAGATTTAACGGCTGTAGAATCTGGACAAGCTGAAATAACCATAAAGTACAGGGTTATGTCTACGTTTATGCTCAATTTTGAAGGCAGAATGAGCGATTTGAAACGCTCATCGTAATCGCAGTTCCACGGTGTACTGTTTATGCGCACTTCTCTGGCTCCTCCAGGCATGATTCTGCCTGGAGGAGACACCAAACATGGGCAGTAACGCGTGAAGAAAGTCCTCACACTTTTATTCGGATTAACGACAAAAAAAATCCAGTCTTTTTTAAGGGTTTCAGAAGCTTTTGAACTAAATCTACATCAACCAAGTAACACAGGTCAAAGTTAACAAATTTCCAACAGCCAGAAATGTAGTTTTGGGGAGGGTTACATATCCTTCTACCTACTGCTGTGGTTGAAGACTTTACTGTCCGTATGAATTGGGATGCGTGTTAAATATTAACAGTACTAGTTGTGAGAGCCATCTTAAAGACTTCGAAGAGGTCATTATGACTAGAGACATATACATATTATAAAGATCTGTTGAATAAAGCCCGACATAAAACTAAGTGTGATGGACCTTCTACACACTGTATATCGAAAGTTAATTCTCAAGAGCCTATACAAACTAAATAGTTTATTGAGGGCTTGAACATGGATCAATAGAGGATAGCGATAACTGCTTTTGTTGAAATATCATTATCAACTGGACACATCTTATCAGATACATTACAACACAAATGGCTTTGTTTAGTTTTCTCAACTAAGGAATTCATTGAAAAGTAATTAAAAGTGAAAGAATGGATCGAACGAGGAAATTGACGATTTGGATTTTGTCCAATAAAAACAATGCGGTTAATAAATGAACTGCTTTTACTGTCTTGTTTCGATACGGTCATTGACTTCAATCTTACCCTTCCACATGAACTGTTGATCCTTGATGTTGTCTCTTGATGAGGATGCCGATGAGTACGGATGCGACCACGAGCAGCAGGAGCGACGACACTGCGATGACAGCCCATAACGTCAAGGTCTCCCCTCTAGCAAGCCTCTCCTCTGACGTCGCCGTGTCACCCCCTTGGAGAGCGATCTCGGGTTTCGCCGCCTTGCTCGTGCTCGTTCCGTCGTTCGGATCCGCTGCAGGGTACTTGCTACCGGTCGTTGATACGGAGTGGCTGGACGATGAGGAGGAGGAGGAGGAGGCGGTGTCAGATGCGGTATCAGTGCCTGTACGTGGTCCTGACGGAGCGGGCACTCTTCCCGATGATCCTTTAGCTGGGTTAGCTCTCGCTGGAGACGCGGTCACGGGTAGTTTACGTCTTGGAGGTGACGCCACCACTGAAATAATGAATGTTAATGAAAATGTTGCCATTAGTTTGTCTACCCATACAATGTGACAATAATTCTGAAACAATGCAAACTCGACCTTTCTGTTTTTTTATATACAGGATACAGGATGTTATAGCCACAATCGCGTACCTTGGACAAAAATGCAATAATAATTGAGAACAAACAATATGTTAACACCGGCTTATGATCTCCTCTGCATAAGACCCCTCGCCGTCAAAAAAAAAAGAAGTAAGATATAGAGTGCATACCTTTGTTTGAGTTTCAACAGATTTGTTTAAAGAAAATGATTTAGATCATACTGGGCAGTGTTCAGCACTGAAGATAATATCTATGGTTTTCTAGGAGGAATGTAATACATTCGAATAGTGACTGCTAAAGAACAAATTATTGAGATAATAACCATGGAGATGTAGGAAAGAATTTGAGGAAATCTAACCTTTAAACCACCTAGTACCACATTACTTGCTTCTTAGTGGTATGTTAAAAGTATTTCTCACCTGGGTCTCTCTGAGTCGTTGTCCTGCTCGATCCGTCGCACACCTCCCCCTCAGGACATTCACAGTTCCCGCTGACGTCATTACACAGCAGTCCCGCGGGACAATTACACGTCTGCCTGCAGTAAGGTCCATACAGTCCAACGGGACACCGCCCCGTGCAGTGGTACATACTGTATGATGATGATGACGATAGAGGGTTCATAAATTCGTCTATGTCACTATCGGACGAGTCCTCATCGTACTCGGAATCGGACTCGTCCTCGTCGCTGTCCAGGTCACCACCTGATTGACTTGATCTACTTTGGGGAGGTTACGGTTGTGAAGGTTGAACGATGTTTTGTATTAGTTGATGGACGGGGTAGGTGCAGAGGTAAGAGGTAGGGGTGGGTGTAGAGGTAGGGGGTAGGTATAGAGGTAGGGTTGGTGGAGGGGTAACGAGTTGATTAACAAAGAGGAGGGCATGATGGAGCGAGAATTTTAAGCAAAAAGTTGTCTTTCGATTAATTATATGATAATCATTAGTGTGTACAAGAGTGGAATAAGAGAGGGCCAAACGAGAAAAGACTCGCTCAGATATGGCGCGGGAAATAAGCGTTAAAGAACCACAGCGGTTAAAAAAAAAAAAGCTCTGCGTTATAAGAAACAGAAATGGTAGGGGATACAATTTATGTCATCATTACAAATACCGCCGCGGTTTCGCAACGTCATATCGAGATGTGACAAAATAATAATTGTCGATTCATGTGAGAGCAATGTTACAATCTAGTTTTTAGGCAAATGGTGTTCGTCTAATTCTCAAAACTTCACCAGTGAATAGAACTCATATTTTGCCGTCTGTGCTTTGTTCTACATTATAGGATTATACTGAATATCGCTTATACGGTCATTTTAAAACATAGAACTATCAAGTTAAGACGCAAGCCAAAACATTAAGATATTCACAAAATAACACAACAATTAATTGCAAAATACATTAAAAAAAGTAACGAAGTATTGGTGCACCCCATGCACCAACCAAGCATCGCTTCTTACAGCATGCCCCTTCGTCCTTACGCATAGGTTTAAGGCAATGATGATCTTATATATAATTTCAATAATTTGTTTATTTTGTTTGAGAATTTAAGACATTGTTCTATTAAAGTTTAATTAATAAATCGATATGTACCATGCAACGGAAGCAAATCGAATCATAACAATAATAATACTACAGCATTATTATGCGCCATCGATCTAGTAAACTATTCTGAGGCGCAGAGGGAGATGATTACCCTGGCATTAGCACGGCTGCCATTACGGCGCTCTAGCATTTTAAGGAATTAATTCCTGCCAGGTACCCATTTACATCACCTGGGTTGAATGTGGCAAATATACATCAACGTCTTGCCAAAGGACATTAGTGCCGCGGCGGGACTCGAACCGCGGACCTTGTGACCAATAGTCCGGTGACGTATCCACTCGACCACGACACCTCTACAATAATAGATTAATATATTTTTTTTAAAACAGTGTACAACTTACGATGCGGCATATCCTGGGCACATACAGAGCCCTGTATCAGGCAGACACTTGGCTGTCGAGGAGCACTGACACCTCTCTTGGCAGTTCCTACCGTAGGTCCCTCCTGGACATGTGCTGTCACAGAATGTGCCGATAAAACCGTTACGACATCTGCATACTCCATTGGACTTACAGGTACCACCATTCATGCACTCTCCACCACAGACATTGAGAAAGCCTGCTTGGGTCAACGCACCCAGGTACATATCTAAGGTAGTTAGAGAGTGAACAGTAAAATGAAAGTTAATCATAGTTGGACAGGTCAAAGAGGCTGAGGTCTTTTGCCGAATTTCAGCATTTCTGTATCTGTTAGCGATCGAGTGAAAATGAAATTTCATGACCAAATATCGGCCTAATAGATCATATATACAAAGAACAATACAAATAGTTCAAGACCTATACCAGAATTATATGAGGTGACGGCTGCCGAATATAAGGTTACGAATGAAGAATGCCCAATTAGACAATTTCACAATAATTATGATGCTCGAGGTGGGGCTGTGACCCGAAGCCTCCCCCCTCGTGCGTAAAATGATCACAATGTTACTAATAGGTTAGTAATCAGCCTACGTCGTCTTCCAGACAAGTCTTTTCAAGGGGTTCTCCTTGATCAGATACAGCCTAGCTATACTCACTTGCAGGACTGGACACTCTGTTCCTTGGAGGCCTAGATCTGCACAGGCACTCTCCGGTATCTGCGTCACATTGGCACCCGGTCTTACAGTTACAGCGATGCTGGCATGTTGTACCCCAGTAGTTCCTCCTGCAGCGAGAGACACACCTGTGGTTTCGTAATAGAGGGCAGAAGAAAAGGAATTATGGTAGATTTTAAACTGGAAGAATGGAGACGTGCGGACGAGACTTAATAATATCGGATCAATGGTGTAGCTTGGGCCAGGAGTTCGACAGGCAATTATGGTCTTATTAGTAGATAACACACGCGCAAGAACTACCCGACAATGTTGAGAGCGAGAGAGAGAGAAAGAGATTAATCTTCCATATTCTCTTTTTCTCTCCGAGGAGAAGTGCCCGAGCCCTCTCCCGTATCTACGCCAAAAAATGGCAAGGGAACGCGGACAAATAAATAATGAAATGAAATGCCGTGGACAGGAACGAAAAAAAGTCTTTGTAATTGCCTTCTTTTGTAAATGATAAAAGAACTTTTCTTTTTCACATTAAGGCTTGTTAGAACAAGTATAATGGTTCAAAGAAAGCTTATTTATACCATTTAGGTATACGTACGAATACTTATATGTGATCTAGGTTTTTTTAAACTATTATCTTGCAATAAATAGTATTGTTCAAAATGAAACTCAAGATGAAAATATTTTCTTTTTAAGCGTCGAATGTGAATCCAAACTGAAACATAACAAGCAAGACTAAAAGTGAACCATGACTTTTAAAATCTGAAACTATGATGATCATCTGAATCAACGACATGCAACACGACCTACCTGTCTCTATCTAGACATGAACACACCCCTGTCATGGGGTCACAGCCTGCCCCCTCGCCACATTTACACCTCCTTAAACAACCCTGTCCGTAATACCCTACAGCACACGGCATGAGACAGCTCAATCCTCTCCAACCAGGTTTACAATAACATCGACCGCCATCTCGTGTCACAACTCCTCCATTCCGACAGGGGTGCGCTGATGGGGGAAGAGAAAGGAAAATAACGTCCAAATCAACTTAGTGCAGAAAGTTCGCTGGTTTTTAATTTGTTCACCAAAGCGCCTGGAGCTGCTAATGCCTCCCTGACATATACACTCTCACTACTTGGGTAAAATATTAACCTGACCCATCAATAGGTAAATGTTATTCCCAAACTTGGATACATTTTAGCCAATATTACGAATATACGATCTTACCCTACAAACATACCGGTTCCTACAGTACCCAATACTGAATGAAATTTTACCTAAATGTTTTTTTAGTGTAATGATTTCCTTGCAAATCATGGCATTTCTTCGAAATTCCTGCAGTTATATCTTTAAAAAAGCTTAGGGGCCCCTGGCGACTTACCCAGTCTACAGGGAGTGTTCGGGTAGAGCAGAGAGCAACACTCGCGGTACATTCGCCAATCGTTACTCAGGTAAACCGTTTCATTCCTGTTAGGAAGAGAACAAATACAAGAAAAGTTCGATTTAAAGGAGAAAGAAACCAAGCAAACATTAGCTCATAATCTTATTTGAATAATTCCAGATAAAAATATATCTAGAAATTACTTGTTTTTGATTATTCAGTCATTAAAACAATAACTCCAACATTTGCAGTTTCCTCGCTAGTCATTCTCCAAAAGGAGTCGCCATTTTGATTGAAATAGTGATGTCAGAGTAGTACAACTTGTGAGGTACCAACCGTTACCCATTGGTTACACCTATGGAGATCAATAAACAACTAGATGATTTGATCTCATCTTAATTTATATCACAGTACATGTATTCGTCAATCATGAGATAGTATATTGACAAGTGAAAACAAAAACGTATGACTTGATATATAACTTTAATAGCTCATGATAAAGTATTGAGATGATAAAAGTGTGGAATACAAATATTTCAGTTATCGACGATCTTTTTCATGTAAGTTCAAGTAGACTCATAAATTATACTATATATAGATCTTATGGATATTTTTATCGCATCATAAGCTTGTCCTTGTTTACATTTCAGTGTTTACATATTGTTGTTTATTTATCTAAGTTTGTCAGATCATCATGATGCCCCCCAAAAAACTAAGATTGATCAAGCATGGTTTGTGTATATACATTCCAGAGTGAAATCGCGTTTTTCATAATCGTACTTCGTGCTAATCGTCCATGTATTATTAGATTGAAGGTCCTCGCACTCGCAAAATACCAATTGATTAATAAAAATAGATCGTAGTTCTCAACACGGCTATCAGCTCTCCGACAGCCGATCCTTTAATTGATCGCCTGTAATTACATGCTCTCCTAGCTGCATAAACCCGTCTTAATAAACCCTCTCCATTTCTGTCAAATCACCGTTACCAGTGAAGTCTAGACGTAGACTCTAGGAATAAACCGCACAGGTGTGTACAAATCCTTATCTTAACCTTCCCCACGCAGTCTCAACCAATTGAGTGGGAGTAAACTTGAAAACAAAAATACTCCAATCGGAAACCAGGGCTGACAAAGTTATCACATCTTCTTTGCTGCAATATAACACCTTTGCTGTCTGATTGGTATTTCCGTTATTTCTATTTGTATAAATTAATGTGCAGATACTAGAGAGTAACTATCAATATAAGTCCACTTTTGAAGTACTCGATAATTTTTTTCCTGGCGTTTTCCTTCGATTGACAGTGACACCTTGTCGACTTGTTTTGATGCTGAACAAGCATTGCGGTTGATCGTCTGAAGACAGTATTGTCATCAGGCTTCTATGGTCAGACAAAAATGGGAAAAGTAGCAAATTATCATTTAATTTACCATCTTGAAAGAAGACAGGGAAAGGAAATGACATCAACTTTCGGTTTATATCTTTTTATCGAAAGGCTACCTGTCTATCCCATCCCTGATATTGCTGACCACAATGAGTTCAACAGAAGTAGCCGAACTCATTGGGTCTTCTGGACATAAAGTCATTCAACTGTTATAATAGAGGTGTCGTGGTCGAGTGGATACGTCACCGGACTGTCGATCACAAGGTCCGCGGTTCGAATTCCACCGGGGCATTAATGTCCATTGGCAATTCGTTGATCTACATTTGCCACACTCAACCCAGGTGATGTGACTGGGTACCTGGCAGGAATTAATTCCTTGAAATGCTAGAGCGCCGTAATGGCAACCGTGCTAGAGCCATGGAAATAATCTCCCTCTGCGCCTCAGAATAGTTTACTAGAAAGATGGCGCATAATAAATGCTGTAGTATTATTATTATTATACTGACAATGGCCATGTAGGCTCAGAAACTACATTAATTTATCTCACCACTTTAACCAATTACCTACGGGAACAGGATCACACCTGTGGGAATGAGAGTATTCGATCAGTACTCGATGGGTTAATATGTCATATTAATGATGAAGAATAACGTTCTCATTTGACCCATCATTGTGTCCCTTTTGCAGCCAACATCAGATTCTGTAGAACTTTGCAGGAATTATGAATATGTCATGTATGTCCTATCTGTGGAATTTAAACATTAGCAGTGTTCTAGTATTCAAATTATGCAAGAAAATCCGTTTACCTTCTATTCTTTACTGCCAGACACTATTGAGTGACTGACTGACGTCTTTTTTCTTTGGTGCTATCATACATTAAATGAGCTGTAACAGGTACATGAGCATTTGTTTACATCAATAACTCCCTACTTGTAATTGCCAATATTAAACAGATTGAATCTTTGTGCAGCACAAAACGTACGACCATTCGGTAAAAGGGTCTGAACATCAGACTATTACTTAAGTGATTGCAGTCACTTAAGTCGATTTGACAACAAATAGTCGTTATTTTCCCACTAAAAGCTATTTTCAAGCCCTTTCGTTTTGAGAGAAGTTCTAAATTAGTATTGTCTTTCAAATGCCGTTGGAATTTATCCTTTTCACTTTTTTGGCCTGTAAATGGGACATAGTACCTTTAAGTAATCCTGCAATCACCTCTTGCAACCAAGCATGTAGCAGGCGTGCGGAAGATCCCCATCAAGACCTTGATCATCCAGGTGCGAAGCGGGTTTAAGTCATGGAGGGGCCACTGACGTCATGGCAAAGGGGAAGGTCTGCATGTCTTACCAAGGAGATCTCTTTGGTCTTATCAAGGTAAAATGTATGAGTGTTTGGGAGAGGTCGTATTCTTTTGTTTTCACGTTGCCTCCCCGTCACTTTCTTTCCCTGTATTTGGAGGGATGGGTGTCATTCGATTGGGGACATGTGCCCCCCCCCCCACCCCCTGTTCCTGCATGTCTCCTCATATCCAAACCACCAGGAGGATATAGGCACACTGGTTCTCACCGAGGCGAATGACCCACTCGAAGATGGGATAGTTGTCAAAGAATTCACTGGGTGGTTGTGAAGACGCAAAGAAACTGAAAACAACTTTGCTTAGAATTTCCGACTTATAAACACATGGCTTAACGACATACACCATGCAGGATCTATCTGACCCGTCCCCTGGTTAGATAGGAGTGATATAATACAAAGAGGAACTGAAGAATCGAAAGTGTATGAAAAATATGTTAAAGGTATCAAACTACAGATTGATATCTTTAAAAGGTGAGGACATTGGGTCAACTGAATGGGGGACGGGGTCAAATAACCACTTGTGAAAAATCATAATCATTTAGTAATCAATATCGACTGGGAGTCATTGATTACAATGACGCGGGAAAAGAGATGAAAACATAGGCAACATGAACACAATGAGGAAGTTTACTATGCTAGTAAAATCACACCTTCAACCTATAAAAGTTTGAAATACTGTATTCATCGTAGATTAAGCTCTTTAATGAAATCCAAGCAAGAAGCAGATCTTTGTTTTATTTCTTATAAATCGGTTGAAAGTAATAGAATATTAAGTGGTATTATAGTAATAAAAGTAGTAGAAGTATCAGTGGTTAAGGTAGGCACGTGTAGCAGTATAGCGGTACTGGTACGGTCATGGTAGCATGTATCAACAGCAGCATCATAGTATATATATATATATATATATATAGCAGCAACATAAAAAGCATTTGTAGAGATAGTTAGGTATAGATGAGAGTATGAAGACGAAGACGGGGATGAAGAACAAGGAGAAGTTGAAAAAGAAGAAGAAGAAGAAAAAGAAGAAGATGTAGAAAAAGCAGAAGGCAGTAGTAAAAAGAAGAAAGAAACTATTTTTGTTAGGAGGATGAAAAAGACATACAGGTAGAACAAATAGAGAAAATATGATGCTATAAGCGTTTGTATCAGATAGAAGAGTCAGTGATTTTAATACCTCTCTTCAAAGGTAATTTGAGCATCGGCAGAAAAGGTGAGGTCACGTAATGAGCACTCTTCCAGTTTTAATCTAACCTTTTTCCGTTTTACCAGGTGCGCATCAAAACGGTTCCTCACACGCTCCGACATGGATTTGTAAAGATTGCTGTTACACATCAATTTACTTTCAATTTAGTTGACATGATTTCGGAATTAGTGAGCCATTCCGATTCGACATGAGGAAATTAGATAATATAGCCCAGCATTTCCCTAGGATTAAGATTTTAGAATCATAATTTATTTAGGTAAAATCGAATTATTCAGTTTAAACATTTAGTACGTCCGGCTGTCGATGTTTTTAATCAACGCTGTATAATAATATCTCCTATCACCTGTAAAGAGATTTTGCGCAATCATGAATGCAATTAGATGAAGGTAGAGAATTATGTACGACTTTAGTCGAATTATTATGGATATAATATTAGATGATTCCCGTCAGAAATAAAAGTCCAAATTATTTTCTTTAATTTGAGATGTGTGAGAGGCATTTTTCCCTATGATAATTTACTATGAATAATGTATTGGAGGTATAATAATGATAATTGACAATGATAATGATGGATCCCAAACCTTAAACCCCTTTCCAAAATCACTATCTTGTAAAATGGTGATAATCTAGCTTCCAATCTGCTACCGTTTACAACTGAATTTTCCTCAAATCTACTCTCGACCGAGAAAATGTTAAAAATATACAGTTATCGAGTGCTATATTGTAAATTGTATATTTCAAGTGGTAAAACAATTCTATATTTGTCAGATCTCAAGTGTAATATGAGACCATCAGATTATCCTAGGTATTGACGTGCATTTGGGTCACACTCGGACATTACTACAAACCTTGACTTAAGAAACAACAACCTCGAATAACATTAATATCTTATCGGTGTCAAAATCATATAGCGTTCTAGTTTCTGTAAGTTGCACACCCTGAGAAGCTTCAGAGAGGGAAGGTGAGGCAAAATGTAGTTTTATGCCCCGAGCTGATAAAATTATGTTGACAGAAATTTCCATACAATAGGCATCCATAATATTTCATCATGACGGAAGAGATTGATCCCTTAAAGTGTTCTTCGGGATATTGATATGAACATTTACGTAGAGGACGGAAGTATTAAAATGAGACGCTGATAAA